AGTCTTATACTCAAAGTAATAAACAGAAGTAGGAAAAGGAAGCTTTTTCATATAATTTTTTGACGTAGTTTAAGAATAAACGCGTTGAAGATTCAATTAAGCATTTGTGCACAGTGGTAATCATTGATAGTACAGCATTGGAACGAGAAAATAACTGTCTTTTTCATGCTTGAGTTTTCAATCCAGCCATAACTGTCCCCTAACTTATTACAGTCAACAAATTACTTTTTTATTCTAAAATTTCTCTGCTGTGTTTCTTTTTTTATCAATGTCTTTTTTTTTGTAACAAACCTTGCGATGATACAATAGGACATTAGTAGAAAGTGGAAAGAAAAAGCCGTAGAGGTGATCAAATTCAAAATCTAATTATTTTTTTTCTGAAGGATTCAATAAATATGCAGGAAGGGCATTTCCGTTACAAAACAGTTCAGGAAATATTTGCGTGTTAGGTGGCAAGGAGAGGGGATGGATGTCCCGTTCTGTGCGTCAACATTGTGGTGGGTGGTAAGCACTGGGTAAGCACAAGGAGAGAGATGTCATTGTTGTTTAATACCAATGACACCTGAAACCATTGCCAAACCGTTCTCTACTGATTTCCAGTTCCCGTCATATCTTTCTCCATCAAGCAGGGTTTATAGCTTAGAACTTCTTAGGCTGTTATCATTTCTGAAAGAACAAGGTTACAACCTAAGTAGAATGTACTACTAAATTTACTATGAATTTCAGGTTCGCACAACATAAATTTGCGTTTTTTTCTATTTAGTTACTGCTATAAACGCCTCCTTTATTCATAACAGTATATTTCTTCCGTATTTATTGATTGACCATTTTCTTCGCCAAGCAAATGAGAATGATTTTGAAGTTTTGGAGCTAACAATAACAGGATTATTCAATTTTAATATTAACCTCCATCCTTTTACTAAATTGATGTTTTGATGACTAATGACTAATAACCGTAAATTAAATAGAAATAAGTAACAATCTAGCTTTGGTTGTCCTAGATCGAAATGATTAATACGACAAGATATTGGCGCTTCTCTTAAAGATGATGGTGATATATCAAATGATGCCATTAGTGCCAGGAAATCATAACCGTTTTCAATATATCCCTTTTTTTCCAGTTTTCAGATTGTTTTTGAAATTATTATGGGATGAATTCATTTACAGTTAGAGTTATGTAAAGTTTAATTCTTGCTGTGTAAAGTTTGATTATGACCAGCTTTATTTATTAACAATCATTCGAACTTCTAAATGCCTCAATTTGATGAGTGTTCATTTCAATGTGTAATATCATTTATCAAAATAGACATTATCATTTCTTGTAATAAATATGATACCACCAAAATTTCATCTTTTAAATTCAAGTCTAATTTTGGAGTCACGTCTGCATTTTCTTTTCTGTTTGATTTATTTCTCTTTTTTTAGCACTCATCATTGGTGGTGATTGAATAGGAAAATTTCCGTTTTTCCGTTTACGCCTCTCTTTCAACTCAGCTTTGATGTTTACCTCTGATACGGTTTTATCACCTTGGAAGTACAAACGTCTTGGAAAAATGTTCGTAAGGCTTGTGTCATCCTAAAATTGCGTGAATTACTTTCGATAAACAGAGGGCACTGTTGGTGTCATTTCTTTGTTTTTTTTAATAACAGTGAGCTAGAAGCATCGTCTGTTTAATTCCTCTCTTTTAGCTTTACACTGAACTTTTTAATATAGAATTATGAATTTTTTAGTCAACACAGAATTATTATTGAAAAAAATTTTTTTTAATGTAGAATTATTAAAAAACAACAGCAAACTCACAATCAATGAAAATCACCTATTAATTTTTAATAATTCCTTCTCATCTCATTCACCAGCTGTTCTTTGCTGCTATTTATTTAAATATTTTTATTAAAGATAATATCCTAACCAAAAAATGTTAGAAAATGCTTTGCCGCCATCATTTCGTTATTTCATTGAAAAATTTTCTTCAAATTATTTTTCTATCTTCAAAAAGTTGCCGCCGATAGTGATGTATGTTAGTTTGAAATGTTTTATTGTTTACAATTTTGATGGAAGCTCGTAAATTGTCTCCCTTAAATGTATCCCGAAGCGATTCAGTTAATAGAAGCGTTTAAGAGTAAAAAAAAAAAAAAAAAAAACGAAAAAAGAAAAAAGTCAGAATAATTCGTGTTGTGGGATTGAGAGATATTAGACTACTGAACTATTGAACTATCTCTTAACTGATGCACCGTTTAGATGACCATCAATCATAAAATTTTATATTATGAACCAATCATTATAAACCATTTAGTCTTAGTGTTTCCTCAGTTCTTGACTTATAATTAAATTTTGCAAACTAATTCCTTCTTCTTTCTTCACTTTTCCTTTTTGTTCTCTTTTCACCAAAAGAGCAATATTATTTGAAGAATTAATTTTATTCGTAAGTATAACACAACTTACTCAATAATTTATCGATGGCTATTTTTCTGAGACATATGTGTAGATTTGGATATGAAATTAAGTGAATACTTGAAGTTTTCGTAAACATTTTGCACCACTACTAGAATTTGCAATATGTGTCATGATTTATAATATGGAGGAGCACTGTTGCTAAAAGAATAGGACTTACATTTCATCTCAATCTTTTCAACTTTTGACTTCCGCAATTGCTTTAATAATATGGAAATTTCCTCTCAGCAGACAAAAAATATCTCGTAGATGAGGGTAATGTGCATGATAAGGATGATAAGCCATTATCCCTGTCATTCATTCTGTCCATTACTGCATTCATTCCGGATTACACTCCAGAAGCACTGTTAACGCCAAGGTCGATTAGCCAGTTCGTTGATCATTTATTAGGAAAATGTAGAAGAAAGAATATGATGGGAAGATTTCTCTTCTCCTCTCCTCTTTATCATTAACATAATAACCAGTAGACTTGTAGATATTTAATAAAACAGTCATTAGTACTACTTTTGTGCTTTGATATTAAAGAGAAATAAAGCAATCTGTTAAATTCATTGTATTAAAAGAGGTATGACTCTTTATCGGTTCGTCTTTTACTCTCAAACTGAAATCCCTCATTGAACAAAGCTCCACATCAAGAATTTTTCAAAATTGAAAATTAGTCTGGCGATGATTCTTGCTGTGGACAGTTTTCATTGTTATGTATTCATATACTAATAAATAAAATGGAATCCTAATGAACAATTTCAATATGAGAGAAGAGAAAATTCAAAAAACAGCATGATGCGAAAATCTTGAGCTAATATACAGCAGTTCAATTTAAGGTCATAATCTATCATTTCCATAACATCCATGTTATCATGACTGTAATTACCAGTTTATCTCGACAAAACTGTTTTGCTTCATTTACCGATTATGTAGTAATTGCTAAGCAAATATTACATCCTTTTTATAGTGCTATCGTAAATGGAATTTGTTTTTGACACCTTGTGATTTTGACCATAAGCTATGCTTTTATAGCTGTAATTGACGTCTGATTTTCAGAACTGCCAAACTTTTGACTGACGTCCGTAATGGAAATATCTACAAATACATCATTATTATTTCAAATGCCTTCCTTGGCTGTTTTCTTCGTCTTTTCTAATACAGTTCTTTTTCTTATAACATAGTTCGTGTAAAGCATCATTTTTCAGCTATCAGACAAAACACAACTCGTTAAAAATGCATTTGTTCCAAGTGATTATTTCTTAAAAACTCTTTCATTCTTTCATTTACTTACTCCATTCTTCAAAACCATACTAAGTATTATCTTAATTTATATTTCAGATTTAACTTTCATGCTTTAAACGAAGAGTGGAATGTATATACTTTTTAGATTCTCATGAAAGTTCCGTATGTGGTTGACATAATTTTGAAATACGAAGCAATTTCTAGCATTTTGATTGTCAGAATTATAAAATATTAAAGATACCGATCGATTTGTATACTTCAAAATACTTCTTCCTACGATCCTATCAACACAGCCATCACTCATATCGGTTAAAGCTCAGGTATTTTGCTGTGCTCCCAGAATCACATTGATTGACAATCTAAAATTACTTTAACTGACATTGAAATCGTTGTCCCGTTGATGGGTCTCCTATTTCATATCCATCTGATAGAGATACTACGCTTCTTATATCATTTCTTTTTAAACATCTTTAGAAGAGACCTGTCTTGTCTTACTGGAAAGATGTGTTTTTATTCATCACTGATAACTTTTAATCATCTTTTTTGAATTATTTTGTTTTTTCTAAAGTCTAATCAACATTTCTTCTAAATTTTAAGATCTTTTTTCACACTCCCTTAAACCTCATGATTTCTTCATAGTTATAAAGAAAGCATTCTTCTTCCTTATACTCATTTATTGTTCCAAGAAGAGAATCTGAATCAGAGGAAGTAAGAGAAAAGCCCAAAACAAGAGCAGAGAGCAAGATTTCAGTAATGAAATTTAACATTCTGGATTAAAATACTCTGGTAGATACTACCAATTGTATGATACTACCTCACTTTTATCCGCTACCTTTTCTTTTTCCATCACTTCCTGACCTACTTACTACACTTTCCAACTTCCAGTTTTTCGCCATGCTCTCGAAATTCTTGAACCGAATGTATCACCTGCCGTTTCTTTATTTCCGGGTCACTTCTCTGGTTAACAACATTCGACTTTTAGAGTCCCTACGTAGTCTTCTTCTAGTACACTTGTTATCGACACATATCAACAATCTCTTTCCCTCTGTGTTCATCTCTTATAGCAGTCAAACACCTGCTGTCATGCTATTGAACACAGGTGACATCCTTCCACTCATATCCTTTTCAGTTAAAAAATATCTAATCGTTTACTTCTTTCCAGGAATTTTGATTTCCTGAATGAATTTTTCATCCATTTAAATTATAGTGTTAGGAAAGTAATTTCGGAAATGTATTGTTAGATTTTATTTCTGAAGCATTCAGATGTACGGATGCTTGATTTAATATGCACTGATCAAAAATTACAAGTTTGAAGTTTCAGATGAATTCGGAAGCATCAGGAATTCCGTCGACATCAGTGGCATTCATGAACATGAGGAGTTCAGATTCAGATGCAAATATCACTTACCGTATACAGCTAGCAAGTCTTCCAGAATCCGTAATTTATCGGGTACTTTCATATTTGAGCCATCCGGAGTTGTTGCAGGCTCAACGTGTCAACAAACAATTTTATAGATTGGTCAGACGGAATGTTCATTTACTGTGTCGACCGGAAGTAATGGAAATGGGGTAAGCGTTGAATTTCGAAAGTTTGTTGAGTTTGAAACCAGAAAAGATAAGTTTTGAATAATAATAGCAAATTATTATCTTAAGTAATAATAATGTCTTATTTTTTATTTGTTTTTCTTACTTTTCCTATTTTCAATTCTCAATTTGAAGCATAATTTGATGATAGTTGGTTGACCAGGTCATTTAATGTCTATTGATATTACTAGATCATATCTACTGATATTTCTACTAGATAGATTGTCGAGTTTTAATCTTAACTAATACTATTTTAAGGATTGGCATGTGCGGTTGTGAGAAACGAGTTCGACCATTTGGACGGTTGCAAACATCGTTGGTTTTGAAAGCAAGTAGAAGAAGACGTTTATTTGTGAAATTCACTCGGAAGACACCTTCCGTAGTGAAATATCGTGAAATTTTTAAGGATGAGGATTACACTGGTGGTTAGTTCTTATTATATTACTATCAAAAAGAGAAAAGGATCAAAATTTTTGTAAGATTAGCAAGTCTATTGATGCATGCAGGCTGAAAGCCATACATTTCATAAGCTTAAAAAGACTAACAATCATTAAAAAGAATTATACATTGAGTTTTGTAAAACGTAAGAGAAAAAAGAAAGTGAAAAAGATAAGTTATCAATAATATTTTGACTCATAATTTAATGAAAACTTTCATAGACCGCAACGATTTATCAGAAAATTTGCTAAGTTATTTGGATCAACAGTTCAAGGAAGCAAACATTCATGGCATACTTTCATTTTCGGGCATTGCCATCACTACTGATTTATATAATAGCTTGTGCAAAAGTTGGGTCAGAATTGAGTAAGTACATATTTAGTTCAACAATTTTGTCTTATTAATTAAAGCTAATAATTTAAATTATTTTTTTAAATATTTTTGTTTGTATCGAAAGAATTTAGGATGCTACTAAACATTGTTAATTTAGGTGAAAGGAAGCTATTCTCTAATTGTCTCACTTTCAAAGGATTACTTGCATTTTTTTATTGTGGAAAATTTTAAAATTGCTATTTGTTTCTCCTTTAAGAACTTTCTGCAATTTTAAAGTTAAAATAGTTGTTTATTTGAAGTCGCTTTCTTCCATTTATTGGGATTAGAATATTTTTAAGAATTGTTTAGGAACAATATACTAGATAATGAATGAAAATTCAAAAAAAAAGATCGCATTGCGCAGCAACTTTATATCTGTAAACAAAAATAAACACAAAAACATAATGACAACTAAAGAGTATTGAAAAACTGGATGAGGAACTTCAAAAATGCAAACTTTGAGTTTGAAAAGGTAAAAAATTCATTTGCAGATGTTTTTCTGAAGCAGTTTAAAAAAATCTTGTTTTGTAAGTTCAAAGTGCCTACAAATACTACAAATAAATTTGACTATAGCAAGACCGGCCTTGAGATTTGGATAGTAAGTTCATTGCTGATATCAGCCATCCATGATGGTAGTTCTTTTTCCAGATGAAAAAAATATATCAACCAGCAGCTCTACTGATTTGTAAATAAATTGAAAAATTTAATTGCTGAATAACTGAAGTGGTCCTTGTCTTGCAGCTGTTTGAAAGCAAAGGGAAATTTAAGCATTCTAAATATTGCTTACTAATCTTCCAAAAAAAAGCCTTTCTAAAATTCCAAAAGGAATGCTAGTTTTCTTTCCGCTTTCTCTTTTTCTTCACTTAGCCAAAAATATAATTGATATTCTCACAAGATATCCAACAGAAAAAAGGAAACGAAATTACAAATACAATGAGAGAAACAGATTGGATGTGACTTTTCAATCGTTGCTTGTATGAAACGAAGCATTCATTTTAACTTTTGTAGTTAAATTTGAGAAATGTATTTTTGAAAAGTTTTCTTGGTTGAATTTCAGCAATGCTACACGTTTAGTGTTCACATTATGTCATTTTCGATTACCGCTGGAGTATTTATATGAATTACTGATACGTACACATTGTCAACGACTGACCATTGAACTTTCTTATTTCGAGCAGTGTTTTCTCGATGATCTGGTTAGTACTAATTTTGATTAAATTCAAATTGTTTATTTCACAGATAGGAAAAGAAGATAAAATCAGGAATTTAAAATCTGAAATTTATATTTCTGGTTGGAAATAGTTTCTTTTTCATATTTCTCATTTTATTACTCATTTCTATCCAATTCTAACGTAAAAGCAAAACGGTTTATTCCAGTCTTAAAATTTAAATTATATGATTGTATTCCCAATAGAAAAACTTTGAGAACTTTGAATTTATAGCTGCTCGTCGATGAATATATAAAATATTTACTATATTTTAGTCTGAAAACTACTAATCTATTCTTTTTATCTTAAATATTGTTTTTTGTTCTCACAGCAAATGTTAAATGTAATAACCACTGCAATTGGTCATTTTCTTAATCTCTGACCGTAAATTCCAATGTCAGTTTAAAAAATCTATGCCATCCACTGTTCTAAAACGGTTTTCCACATTTACAGTGTTGTTATCTATGAAATTAACTCTAAAATCTCTCTTATCCTTTAACTTAGATGCTTTGATTTTAAATTTCTTACAAATTGACTTATCGATTTTTTATGTAATTGATATGTTTATCCAAACCATTAGATCAATCACCAATTGAAACTTAAGCAATAGCACTCCAACAGATTTCGAAGACTGTTAAACTGCCTAATCTAAAGTCAGAATTTCGTTAATATTGCAATTAATATTTTCATGCTTGCTATATAACAGACCCTCAGGAGTTGATCCTGAATAGTGCAACTCCCGTGCATATCTCTCGATTTACTGATAATTCATTGCTATATGCGAGATAATTTTCTTTAAGGTTTTGGAAGCAATGTCGGAGTGTCAGGAGTTGATTCTGAGCAGTGCAACTCCCGTATATTTCTCTCGATTTACTGATAATTCACTGCATCGGTGGGCCGTTCAGGAGAAGTTACCCAAAAAGATTCTTTTTCGCAATATCCGGACTAATTTCACATTTGATGGAGTCATAACTTTGATTAATGTATATTTTAAAGCTTCGGCTTTTAGTTTTTTTTTAATAAAAAAATTGTTCAGCTGTGAATTAATCATTACATGTCTTGGAAGAACTTTAAATTCATGATAAACTAATTTCAAAATTCGAGAAGATTTTGTTGAAGAAATCAAGATTATTTAATATTTTTTCTTTCCAGGCACTACAAATTCGGTATCCTGAGTTATTTTCCAATAGTGTTCAATCCATGGCAGCTGTTGGTTGTTGGAGAAAAACAGTATATGACTGGGACTTCGGTTGTATAGCATTACCGGAACAGAATGAAGGCAACAGTATTGTCGAACTACTGAGTATACCGGGTGTGGTGACACATATTTCCCGTTCATACAACCTTTCAAACACAGTTGATGTTACCATTAATTCTAAGGATTTTTATTTAAGCACAACGAAATGTCAAGTTTCAATTAGGCTCCAACTTGGTATTTCTTCTCAAAAAGACTTATGAACTGTCGGGAGACGTGTTTTTTAAAGCTTTCCGAAATAGGAACTGATGAGTTAATTTAATTGTAGGATAAGAAAAATTAATGGTTTAAATTAAAAGCAAATTTTGTTAATGAAATATCTGAAAAAGATATTTCATAATATGCTATATTATGTTGAAACAATCTGAGTGAAAAAAAAAAAACTTACTTTCAAGTGAAAAAAAAAATGGAGGAGCGTATCTGTCGTTTGATTTTAAACAGCTTTGTCTTTTCGATTAGGGACTTTTTTCGAAATGAGTAATTTTCTGAAATTTCATTGACTAACACATTGCTTTGGAAGATTTTAATTAGCTGGAATCATTGTTAATTTATGAAACTAAAAATGAGCCTAATGGTACTTTCACTGCAGTGATTATCAAAAGAATTTAATGGATTTGGGTAATAATTTAATAACCTCTTTTTTCGCAACATTTTCCATTGTCTGTGATCAATGAGTAGTATGTTTTGAATTCAATTAGATAAAGTGTCGTTTTAAATGTTGTATTTTCGGAGATAATTGTAATTTGTTTGAATTAGTTGGAATAAAGAATTTCTGCTCATTTTCGTATGGAACAAAGTGTAAAACAGTGACCACAAATCCACTTTTAAACGATTTTTTCGGAAAGACTGTCACTATAAAAATTCCCTAAAGTAAAAGTCGTTTTAATTTACTGCGTATAGTTCTTTAGTCTAATTATCAAAAGCAAATAAAAATGCCAAAACATTTTGAATAGAAACTAATAAAAACTATTCTTGCAATTTTACTCTTTGGCACAATATTTTCTTCAAAAACTCTCAATTTGATATTTTTTCTTGACATCTTTGATGGTTTGAGGAAAAGAAAAAGAAGAAAATTTAGCTAACGAAGAGGCACAGTAGGCTACAGAAATAGGCCAACTATCATCCAACTCATCCGATGAATCAGCTCATTTAGTTTTATATGTGCAGTTTGTGTGTGTCTAATTGTAAACTTTATAATCACTTCAACTTTCTACTTTTCATCTTAATTGCAGCTTAATTTTAGCGGTCTAATAAAGTGAGGATAGTTATCATCAGAATGGAAGAGATCAGTAAAATTAGGCCAACCGGTAATTTGGCCAAGTGATAATTGAGAATAGAAAAGAGATGAATAAGAGGAGACTGTCATAGATATTTAATCCTTGATGACTTCCATGCATCTCTTCTTTGTCCCTCAGCAATTGCTCATATTTTCATTCATTTCAGTCATTCTAATAAGTAATTTGTAGAGAGTTTTAGATTTTGTTTTGCAAGAATTTCTATAAGAGCTAATGGCTTCTTTAGAAGAGATTCTTAGTTTCTCGTTTCTGGAGTAAAGTTGTCGATAATGTAAAGTGACATAGGAATATTACAACCTTTTTATTAACGAATAAAGTAGTATAATAATAGAAGTTTACTGTAAAGGAAAACGGAGAAACATTAGCCAAATTGGAAATGAGTGAATAAATGAATGGTTGATATCTGATGTGTTTACATTATATATATATATGGGATTCATAAACATAAATCATTTTTAAATTTCAGAGATCATCACAAGGTAATAACGTTAATCTAATATAAACAAAAGAAAAAGGGGACAGGAAGTAATTTAAAGTGATAAACATCATATCGAAAACAATTGATAAAGATTTAACGTAATAGACATCAAGCCAGTTGTGTGACACATGTGACTTCAAATATTTACTCATAAATATTTTATATTTTCGTGAATTTCAAATGTCGCTTTTTTTTCAAATATTTGCTTCATTATGAGTTTTGGAATCGCGGAAAAAGTTTCTGCATCTATTGACAAAAATGATGTTCGTCAAACTTGGGACTTTTATTTGAACTTCAACGAGTATATCAATAGCGAGCAACAATATTCGGTTTGTTTCTACAATAAAAGTAACTGGATTATCAAAGTTCTAAGCATCCAAAAATATTAGAATTAATCAAACATTAATAAATCTTAATATTTTGCATGTACCAATTCAAATTGTTGACGCGATGATTGTAATTCTGAATTCTTAATTACTACAGAGTAAGGAAAGCATATAGATTGATCGGTTGATAGCTGTAAAATCTTGACGACTTTGAATCCAACTTAAAGCAGAAAGATTAGAAGGATAAGAAGAAACAAATTAACAGTAAATCAATGATACTTATTGTTAGTATAGTTCTTCTTCCTCTTCGTTAAAACTCTTTTTAATGAATAACTTCATTGGATGGTACTTCTGCTGGTTTATTGTAATTGATATGTTTCACCACTGTATCTTAGTCTTTCATCATAAATGACAAAGATTTTAATTTAGGTGCCTAATTACCGTTATGCATACTTTTTCGTGTCATCCACGCCTGACACGTGCAATTGCAATTGAAAGTGAAAGTAATGCAGTAAGGCTTGAAAATTTTATAGCACGAGAATTGACTGTAACTTTCCTCTACTATAGTATGTGTTTGCCAGGACAAGGAAATTTCTTCGTTGGTTTACCTGTTCCTTACCTACGACAGGTAACGATTTCCACTCCTTCCCTCTTCTCCGGCACATCCTGCTCTGCTTGCGATTCCTCAATAGAATGACGAATGTTCTGGGAGAGATGAGAGGGAAAAGAAGAATGGAAGAACTTCGAGAAGAATTTAAGGACACTGCGCTGGGAGAATCGAGATGAAATGGGGGAGGCAAATAACTTGGGGACAACATGAAAATAGTTCGAAAGGAGATGAGGCAATGCAGACGAAGAGAGTGGCAAATGCTACTTTGAAAGAGGAAAGGAAGACCGGGTGGGTTGGAACATTCTCTTGGGGTCAAGATGATCGTGCATGTCTGGGTAAACCTCTAAGTTTTCGTATAATTAGGGGACGCCGGGCGGGTAGTTCTGGTCACATGATAGAGGCTAGTGTTGGTCATCCGAGATTCTGTGATAATACTCTCGTATAGATGTGATTGATACGAAGCGGCTTTGTGGACATTAGATAATTGAACCGATCATGCAAGAGTGGTTCGGTCAGCAAGTTTAAGCATGGATTTGTGGAACTTGCATTTGTGGGGGAATCACCTTTTGACCAGAGACGCTTTATGCGCTTTGGAAGTGTCGTTCTCTCTTATTGAAAATGATATTCTAATCGTTGAAATGGTTTCATAATAACATGCTGCTTTTCAGATCAAGATATGGCAAAACTATTAAAAAACGAGGATGAATTCAATCAATTCATCAGAATGACTGAGTTCGTTCCATCATTATTTTCCGATATTAGTTTTATACCTAACCGATAACATGGTGTAAGTGACGCCTTTTTGACCTATGAAATTTCATTCCATTTCTAACCACTTTGCGAGCTAAACTTTTTCCCTTTGTTGGAATGATGTTGCTGATATAATATCATCAAGTATATACAGCACATGACATGCTGTTAACTTCCTAAGCATCGTAAGTTTGCAAATCTCTTTGACTAACGAAATTATGATCCCTTTTATGATCTCCTTTCTAAATGATGTAAATCTTTTAAAAACAAATAAGCATGTGTTTCAGATATGCTCTAGTGCATTTCTCTGCAAAATGGTGTGAAATATGTGAGCAACTCAATAATTTATTATTAGAATTTAAAGATGAACTAAAGTGTTTTGATTTTGCTGTAGTGGAAGCAGAAGAAGTTGCCGGAATATCAGTTGCGAATAAAATTGTCGCAGCTCCAACCGTTCTGTTTTTTAAGGTTTCCAATTTTTAGTAAATGATTTTATTCGCCATTTATAATCATACATTGGATTTATTTCACAGTAAGGAGTTAGTAATGTAGCACACTGGGTCTGAAAAATTATTATTCAGCTATTGTTATTCTCAGCATCCAATTTCAAATTATGATGATACAGTTTCAAATCTCAAGTTTGCTGCATGTTTTATTTATTCCATTTTATTCATTGTGACAAATAAAGAATACAGCGGGATAGTCATTCCTAACGGTAAAGTTTTTGTCCTTGTTATTTTTTTTAGAAATGATTAATTTCAGAAAGGGAAGGAAGTCGATCGTTTACAAGGATTCGATCCGGCTAAATTAAGAATAAAAATCATTAAGCACAATTTTGTTGAAGGCGTTACTAACATGACAACAAAACCAATCGATGATGAGAAAAATGTAAATTTGCATCAAATTCGTCTATTATCAGAAGTTGTTATGTATTCTACATCTCTCATTTCTTTTATGGTGTATGTAGATTTCTTCCTTTGCAGCTCGTAAAAGCACGATATGGAATAATAGACCCAAAATGCTTTATGTTGCTTTCTTGTAATCTAGCATTCTTTTAGCTAATTTTCCACCTTGTAAGGCATAAGCATTTCTTAATTTGTTTGTTTTCAGGATGTGAATAATAGGATGAAATCACTGGTCCATCACTCTCCTCTTACGCTTTTTATGAAGGGAACACCAGATAACCCAAAATGCGGTTTGTTATAAGAAATAATTTTTTTTTGCAGAATTTAGAAAAATGTGTTGATTATCTATATTCGCGAGGATTTTTAGTCTTCGAAAAGACTTTTCTACTGTGCCAATTTTAATTTAAAATCCATTTAAGGATTCAGCAGTCAAATTGTTAATCTTTTACGTGCGGTAAATGCAGATTTTTCAAGTTTTGATGTCTTGGAAGACGATGAGGTAATATTTTTCATTAACCCGTAACAAAAGTTTTGTTAGGTCCAGTTGTCTTTTAATAATAATAGTAATTATTATTATTGTTATGAACATTTCTATAGTTTATAACAAAAAAAAAAAAAATAATACATATTGAGTTATATACCATTTGTTTTAAAAAAAATGCAGGTGAGACAAGGATTAAAAGAATATAGCCATTGGCCTACATTTCCACAGCTTTATTTGAATGGCGAACTTATTGGTGGCCTAGATATTCTCAAAGAAGAGTTAAATGATCCTGACTTTCGCAGTAAATTGCCGAAACTGAAGGTAAGTTTTTGTCACAAATTCATTTCTGAAGCCAAGTCTTATTTAGCAACCTTTTTTTCTATTTTCTCTCTCTAATTAAGTTAAATAGTTATTTCAGAATAGCAATGAAAGATTAAAAGCATTAATCAATCAGGCTCCTCTAATGCTTTTCATGAAAGGAAGTCCTAAAGCACCTCAATGCAGTAAGCTCTGTTATTTTCTAAATTCTAATAGTTGACGCGACAAATTATTCTTGATGTATTTTTAAAAAAGGAGCATTTGTGGTTTCAATTTTCCCCTCTTCGATTTGCAGAATTCAGCAAGAAGATTATTGAACTGCTAGCTGGGATTAACGCTGAGTATTCATATTTTGATATCCTTAAAGATGATGAGGTACGTCTTTCTGCTTTTAGTTATCTGATTTTTCGTTATATTTGTTAAAAAGAAACTTGACATTTTACTGCTGATGTTGATTCAAAAAAAAAAAAATTTCATGATTTTATTTTTTTTTTCGTGGTGGCTTCGAAATTTTCGTATTTTATCAAATATTGAAGACTCTCTTCATCGAAAGTAAATCGATGTCTGAGCCCAATCCCTGCAGACACTTTCGTCAAGCAAACTGATTCTTTAATTGTAATAACTGTAAAGTGGAAATTTAGAAAAATTTCGTAAATGGACGATAGCTTTTTGAATATAAATTTAAGTGCTTGCATCATCTCATTTGTTGGCTTTTATGTTACGATTTGGAGTATAATAATCATGTATCTAACTTTATTATGGTTATGATTTTTTTATGCATTAGACTGAACAGTGCAAGCAGGATTTATTGATTTATCACTTATGATATTTTCTAATATCCTCTATTTTCTAATATTGGAATTAGATACGAGAAGGATTGAAAGAATATAGCAACTGGCCAACTTATCCGCAGCTGTATTTGAATGGTGAACTAATCGGTGGTTTGGATGTGGTTACAGAGGAGTTGAAGAATCCTGATTTTGTGGAGAAAATACCTAAATCGAGCTGATGAAAAAATGAAGTGATTGATTAGTTCTGTACGTTAATGTTGATGAACTGTTCTTGTTATATTATATATGGGGGAAATATAACAAGGATTCCCCTTTTGTATGTTCATTGCTAATTATTTTTTTAAAGAATGAAAGTTGCATTTCTACACTGTTCATTTTTCTAATGCACTTTTGTTGTAGTTAGCCTTGTATTTTGTTGGTTAGGAACATGCGAATATCTGCAACTATCGTTCACTTCACAGATTCGTTAATTTTGCATTTTTTGGTCTTTCAAAGTTCATATGTCCACAAAACACGAAACGATTCTCAATGCATGCTTTTTCGGTATTTATATGTACAGAACCTATTCTGTCCTAAAGATGACACGAGTTGGAGTAGTTTTTATGATTTTAGTTTTAAATTATTTTTAGCAACTTGATCGAGCTTACCAAAGTTTCTGCATGTAACACCAGAAATTAAATCATCAAGTATAAGATATTTTTGACTTATCACTGTTACAAAAGGATAACTCTTCGCTGGTATATATCAGAAATATGAATTTGCACGGCTACGAGGTATTTCTCAAATTTTTGCAACATTTTTTGACCATTGTGTGTGTTGGGGCTTCCGAAAGTGCTAAAATTGTGCAACCCTCTATTGTTTGCAATTTTTACTGCGTAATTTCGGAAAAGAAAGGGGAAAAAGCACCCGTTGGTATAAGTCTTTTTGATTTTCGCGATTGTTTATCTGAAATGTATTGCATAAAGCACATTTGCTCTGCCAGTAACTTTATGTTTTTTTTAAATTTTTATTTGGTCATCGTGGATATAGTATATGATAAGCAATAACAGAGTTAGGTTGGAGTAACTTTTAAATGTAGCAATATCTCGAGAAGTATTCGCCCTAACATACAGGCAGAGCATTTTGTAACACAATCTCAAGTGGTGGATAAACAATTTATCAAGAGAACTTTATAAAGCATATCAGTAACATTTCTAATAATAGGAATTATAATTGTTCATCGTTGTAGCCTGAGGGATCGCGAGAAGATTACATGTACTCGGAATTTGTAATTCTTCGTTTCTTGGCAGTGTTTTCAAGTTTGATATTTTAATATTTTGTTTTTCCATGTCCTAAACAAGTAACTTCTGAGTTAATTTTATATGAACTTGGCGCAATTTATGGAATGTGAAGTATCCACATTTGAGGAGTTCAAGTTAAAGCTTCAGAAATGTTCAAAAATTTCATTAATGATTTCTCTCTAATCTTAAGGTCATATTTAGATGAAGTCTTTTTTTTTTTTTTAAATGGTATGATTTCTATTACATCAATTCCAGTTACAAATAGCTTTTTGTTTTCCGTAATTAAACTATGAAATCTACCAGCATCTGTTGGCATATTGGCAGCTGGAACGAGTGGAGAGGGTTCTTGAGCTGTAAAAGCAATTTCATGTTCTAGAATTAATGCCGCAAGCAAGTTTTTCAAGATTTTTTCTAAAAGATTTCACACTCTTGATCTTTGTCCATTTAAATTAACTACTATCTCCTAAATTTGTTGCAAGGAAATGCGACGTTAAAATAAGGTGATTAGCTTAAGACCTAATTCAAAAGACAGAAATTTTAAAGCAGTAAGTCTCATTTGAAGTAGTCAACATGAAAGGCTTGTCTTTTCGGAACTGATGATATGATGGTTTTGGGATAATTTATATTCTTCGTTTTGAATGGATCAGATAGGATCAAATCAAGAAATTACAAGTTATCACGCAATTTTAATTCAACTTTTAATCGCTGTGGAAACTTCTATATTACTATTTTCTATATTCCATATGTTTTTGTTATAGATTCTTGTGTTCTTTTAAACCAGTTATGGTTCAAAATTTAAGTTTTAGAATCTTTAAATTAATGTAGAAATCCTTGGATTCATTTTTAAGAATTTGGAGTGATTAAACTAACCCATTTTTAAGTAACAGTTTATTCTCGTTCATGGAGTTATTCTGTGGCAGTAAGTAACTGATTGGACAATTAGGAATAGCGTTTACTGCATTATCAACTGATGAAAATTGCACATTCAGCAAAGGGTTTGGATACTGTTGATAAGCCTGTATTGGAGTAGTCATCGTTGGTAAGGACTGTTTTAATGGTTGACTAGGTGTCAAGAACGGAGCTGGTTCTGATTGTGAGAACGAACTGTATGGATTCGCAAAATATGAATGGTTTTCTGCAGACATTGATAAATTAGGGAAGCACAGCATTGATCCAAATCGTACTGGAAGTTGAAAACCGGACATCGGTTGTTGAATCCCTACGGTTGGTGATTGTGTGGAATAATTAGCTCGAGGAAAGCAGGGTCTAATATTTTGAACTACGTTTTCATGTTGAATACTGGTGTCCAGATTCTTTGCTTTTTTGATACAAGGTGAGAGATATGTGGCATTCCAGAATTCTTGGATTCGTTTCATTGCAATAATCGTATCCTTTGTTCCCAGCTTATAGGAAGCACTATTCCTGTACTGATGATCCTTTAATTTATCCGCTTGCTGCAACGTTCTCTCGGAAGATCGCAATCCGCCAACGTCATAGTTTTTGTTTGGCTCAACTGGATTTGCGGAATTGAATTCGCCAATTTGGTTGCTCATTGGATTTTGATCATTATTTTTCATTTCTTTTTCTATCGTTTCTTTAAAATAGTCCATCAAAACGATGTCTGCATCCTCTTCCTTTTCACCTGATGTTTTTTCTTGGAAAGTTTCAGACGAGTTTAAGGGCTTTTTGGAAACTCTTAACTCTGTTTTCCCAAACTGATCATTGTTTTCCCATGTACAGCACAATTGTCTCGATAGTCCTAACTTTTTCTGTTCCATAGAATTCATCGTGTCTTCATTATTCTGCTGCTTCAATATCCCTTTATTCTGATTACTATTTGTATGATGCTGATAAACCTGAGTAATTGTTTTATTTGTACAGCTGATAGATTCTTCAGTTTCATTATTAATTTTCAAATGTTCACTTCCATCATAATTAACATTGACGATACTGTTGTTGTTATTGCCGAGCTTACCTTCCTCATCTTCTTGCAAATTTTGAACAGTATTGTGGTGTTTCTGTTGAATTTCCTTCAATTTTGAATAGAGAGAATCAATTTTCGCTTTTAACACAATAATTTCATTATCAGTTTTTGTCGTATTATTTATTAGAGAAGATTCGGATGTGACGTCTTTTCTATCACTGATCTTTCCTGAAGTTTGTACAGCCGGCAGCGGAAACGCTTTGCAACCACTAGTAAATTGATTTTGTCCATCCAATAAGATAAGAGGTTTTTTGGGTACTGTTCTTTCGATATGATTGTTTATAGCATTAATGTTTGTCCCACTGAAGATGGCTTCTTTTTCAATTGTCAGATTTGAAGGTGATGCAAGTTTCTCTATTATCTGAGATTTTAGTAAATCTGATGACAGGAGAGGTTTGATTACAACCAACGAATCATTGAGCAAGTGCAACTTAGGATTGATAAGGCATATTTCAGGACTGGGTTCATGACATTTTGAAGGTCTCATCAGTCTCGATGCAGAGCCACCTAATGGATCTATAAGAATATGTTCTCTCAGATTCATTGAAATCTGATATAAGTTATTACCACCAAACGATGGATTTCGATTTCCATACGGATTCGGATCCAGTTCACTTCGTGACATTATAAAAGGTGGTTTAAATGGTAAACTTGAGCCGCCTTGGTCCATTATCAATTAATTGTGGATTTTCTTCTTTCTTGAAATTCTTAATCACCTGGAAGTTATTTGCTTAATGTTTTAAAAATTCCTCCAAATTTACATTGAAACGGCACCGCTTGGAGATGGCGTAAAACTTCAAAATTGTTACCTTCGCATATTAAAGTATTTTTTGATACAGTATATAAGACATTAACAAATATATCTTTTACACTGTAATATGAAGCCTTGCAATTATTAACAAATAAGAAATTCTACATCTGCTTATTAAAGAAATTAAAAAATGCAATCCAAAGGGTAAAAAAATTCGGTAAAAAATTTTAAAATTCTCGAATTGCAAACGCTTAGCTTTGATGGAGCTTTTTGAAGATTAAGCATTTTAAAAGCGTGGAGAATTTTATTTTTTAAATCAATAGACGACTTTAAATTCTTAGATCGTGAAAATTAAATTTTTGAAAATTTTGAATGACAATCTAATTATACAAGCTTTGAAAGCCGTATTGATGATAATACTGTAAATGGGAATTTAGTAAAATTAAAAATTTCAGGCATGTTTGTGGATAAAAGAACAAACGTAATAGAAAAATGAAAAACTTAAGAAGTAAGCTGTCGCAGAATGGCAAAGGCTGGTAAATATAGCAAATATGCATTGACAGATTTGATTTTACCAAAAATTCAGCATCTTGTTATCGCTTTAAAAAAAATCCACTTTCAGGAAGCAAACCATGCATTATAAATTATATAAAGTTAATCTTTGGTTGAGAGTTGTGAAAGAGTCAAATGCAAAAAAAAAATTGCAATTTCTAAAACTTCACTCTAATATGGTCACTGAATAACTGAATAGAATGATTGCTTCACCACAAATCTCCCATCACCATTACAATCATATATTTGTTATAAATTTTAAGCGGAATTTGAAGAGATTCGAAATTGAAATAACCAAATAAATATCAAAAAAACCTTTCCAGATAAGTAATTTTGCAATATCTGCCACTGGAAATGCTCGTCTGTTTGAAGATTTTTTCAAACGACAAAGATTTTAACATCTAAAATCAGTACCAGTGATGTCTTCGCATACTACTAGCAATGGATATTTATCTACAGCATTAATTCGCATCATCTGAAACTTTATGGGTCATAAATGAACAGTGATTGCAAGGAAACGTGGTACGAAGGAGATATGGAAATTTCTCCGACTCTTTCAAAATAAATCGTAGCGTGTTTGATGTCTCTTTCTTAATTTGGAACTCCTTTTACTCTCCTCTACTTTTTATCAGCAAGATAAGCTAAAACGAAATAAGCAATTCAGCTTTAATCAGACTAAAATTATTGCCTTTCTTCGAGATCAGAAATAACGAGTGATAATGAATAAATATGATGATCGGTAAATCTCTAAGTTTCATTTCCTTTTTAAATAACAAAAAAAAAAAAAAAAATTACTTGAAATGAAATAAATGAAAAAAAATGAATCGATAATAACTGTTTTGCAATCATTCAGATATGTTAAGAAAAATAATCATTTAAATGATTTTTACATCATCAACTGATTAAAAATTACCGTTGACAGTGAAGAAAAACTTAATTTTCTTTATAAATAACATTAAATTAACCTATGGCACAATGACACAAAATTAAGTTCAAAATAAAAATATGTATACTAATAGCTGTTAGTTCAAATAAATGCAAAACATTTAGCTCCTCTATCAGAAGCCGATAAAATTTGCGATTACTCCCATTTGTGTTTCTCTTGATTGGCTTATCCCAACTTCCTTTAAGTAGAATGAAAAATGATTTGAAAATTGCTTTATCTTTAGGCTAATTAACTTGACAGTTTAACTTGCAAAATATTAGCTGGAAATAAAAACTGTGTATAAAGAACGGTGATGACATAGTGCTGAAACTGTCGATTGTGAGTTTAAATTTTACAAAATCCTAAGGAGATGATCGTGGAGTATGAGAAATTTGTTTGTTTCTCAGTGATTACATGATCCATGATGGAATCCATGATCTTCAACAGTTCAAAAATTTATCGCTCAATGATAAAAGCTGAACGTACAATTGCAAGAAGAATTTTTTTTTTAATTTCCTCATTCGAAACAAAGCAGAGAGAAGAAGATTTGCTTATATTTATATTTTATTATATTTGAGATGATTAATAATATTAAAAAATCTTAACAGAATGGTAGAATTGTATGAGTTACTTGAAGTGTTATAATTCCAGACAACATGAAGCAAAAAATTGTGAGTGGAAAATTTTGCTCAAACTTAACTGTCTTATTGCGTCTCGCACTAAAAATTTCAATATTTCACGAAAAGAAACACGAAAAGAAACTCATAAGAAATAATTATTATTATACTTCTGTTTTCGAAAGTAACTGATTAGTTTCAAAAAATTGAATTCAAACTATCAGACAATAAATAAATGAAGTGTCCCTTTCTAGTTTTAAAGCCACAGTGCATTAGCCACACTGATAGTGCTATTTATTGAATCTATTTTAGACTTTCTATTCTCATCCCATGGCAGAAAGCAAATGAAATATACGACAATTAACTTAATTATCATATTTCACAAATTTGCTTCTAGACTATTATATTATTCAATCAACTATAATGCGATTATGTTTGAGAGAAAATCTGATTATATTTATATTTGATATATTTGAGAGAAGATTAATAATATTAGAAAAGCGGAATAGTATGATAAAATTGTAAATTATTTGTAGTTTTAATCTTCAGACATGATGAGGCAAAAAATTTTGAGTGCACACACAGAAAATTTCAATATTTCACGAAATTCCCACAAATTCTTCGAGTTTATAAGATACAAATTAGAAGGTTTCTAGCGCTAATTTAGCGATGGTTTGGAAGAAAATACAAGAACGTAAGGTACCGCTAAGGATAATTTTAAGTGATCGATAATAAAGTCAAAAGGACTGCAAACCATCGCTAAATTAGCGCTGAAGTCGACTGATGGTTGATATTGTCAGCCGCTTTGTCAGATTGATGTACACTTGAATTCAACGTATAATAGCCCATTACTAATAATGTCTTATTCAATGCTTTAATTACCTTAGGGCCCCTAATCTTTGATTTAGAGAAAAATATAATTTTAATAATTTGCAAAAAAAAAAAGCCAGAAAGAGCGCGTTAGAGCGCGAGAAAAATTATTAAAAGAAAAAGTTGACAAATCCTTCAGAATAGAATGCATCGAAACAACAAATTTTCGAAAGTTCATTTTCTCTGTGCAAGTAACCAAAAGCAAAGATGAAAAAAATGTAAGTAAGTTGGTTTTATCATCAGATTTGCTTCATTTCTAAAAAAAGACTTTTTTGGAACTATGGAAAATATTTAGAGAATGACTGGATTGAAATGCTTGACATTGATCAATACAACAATCTCTGTAATTCACTTACAGAAGCATTGTATTAACCAAACATAAAAGAATGAAAAATAGAAAAAAAAAGAAGGGATAGAATGGAAAAGTGACGTACTAAAATTTTTAAATTAAGTCTCCTATTATCTACAACCGCTAACAACTTACAAAATTGAATATTTGGAAGCCTTATAATTTCGTGTCTTAAAATCAAATCAGGTATCAAATCGTTGCAAATGTCAAATCATTGTCATCGTTGTTTTCGTTGACATACACATCAACCAAGCAATTTGTGTTCATTTCTGCTCATAATCATGTTGCTGAAAAGTTGTATGTGACTATATGATTTACTTTTGAAAATTGAAAATATCGGTGAAAAGCAGAAAACATCCATCATTCAATCATTGCTTAAAATTCTGCTAAATTGAGCAAAAACTACATCTTATTGTCTAAATCTTTTAAAAGTGCATTAAAGTAAGACGCAGCATAATAATTTACTTTTTGAATTTTTATAGTATCAATAAATTGCATAAACTTTCTGATAAATAGAAAATCCAGAGATATCAATGCTTGTTAAGTTGTAAATAAAACAATAGCAATTATTGTAAAAATTGGTGAATTAAATTTTATTTTTAAATTAATATTTTTTTTAATCCTTATTTCTGTGAGAAAGAAATAAACATTTTGATGCTCTTAGGGAAAATAAATCAAAAAATCAAAGGACTTATTCTTCAAATACTTTTAAAGAATGAACATTTATTAATGAAAAATTGTTCTGAATTTAACACATCTCTATTCCTTATTTGATTTGATTGAGGTGTTTCTTGTGATAGACTCAAAATTTTCTGAAATGGATTTTATCAAAGCGAAAAGGTCAAATTAGTTATTAAAGTTATAATTTTGAATTGCCACAATTAGCATATTAATTTGAAGATTCTCAAAAATGCAGCTGAAATTTATTAAAATGAGACAAGTAGGAACGGCGTCAAATGGTCTGAAATGACAAAACGATGAAGGAGAGATTCATTGAGTGAATCGTCAATAGACAAAAGAATCAACTGGTCTTTTTTTTTGGTTTAATAATCTAACAGTATTAGCATGCACTCGTATAAATGTCAAAGGACTTTTCAATTAATGGCAATTTTTTAACTTTAATATGCATATTACAAATTAAATTTATAATTTATCTTCCAAATATGACGTCAACACAATAATGATCTCTTTAAATGTTGGCCTGTTTTTCTCAGGCCCAATGCATTCCTTCATTAAATCACCAAGCACCTCAGGCATCATTTTAGGTGGTTTTAATCGATAACCTCCTATTATAACTTTATTATACACCTGAAAAAATTTTCAACTGATTTCAAATGTTTTTTTATTAATTTATAATGAACAAAGAATCATTAGTATTGATGAAAAATAAAAGTTTTCCAAAACCAAACATTATCATGGGAACCTTTAATAGGACCAAATTGTTGCTCCTATAATCAAAGGAAAACTTTAAATTTAAATTCGTAACCTCATCAGCTTCCCATTCCCTGTATGGTATACAATATGGCACTGTAAAGCATTCGTACATCGTTACACCGTATGCATAAACATCTGTTGCCTTGTTGACAATCCCTTTGTCATATGCTTCAGGTGCTAACCAACGCAAATTCAACGGTTTATTAGGATCAATTTTGTAAATTTTTGTGTGCCTTGTCATGCCGAAATCAGCTACCTACATTTATTTATTAAGAATAGATGACGAATATACGGCAGTTAAAATTTACGACATTATCAAGTAAAATTTATTTTATTTCAAGACAGATCTAGTCAGGAGTGCTTCTACCTTTCAACAGTTTTCGAATTTTTATTTCACCACAGTTATTTCTGTATTTTCTAAATTTTGTTGAAGTATTTTAGCATTGATTATTTTAGTATTTATGCAAATCTCTCATCAATTACAAGAGTATAAGCAACTTTTTTAATACGAGATACTGTATTTTCCAAATGGAATGTTTACACATGAAGAGAAACTGTCTTCTTACGCTTACTTTGATAGTGTCACCAATTAACAGATTTCGGCAAGCGATGTCACGGTGTAGGCATTTTTGACGATGCAAATATTCCAGGCCAATAGCTGCCTCTTGCAGGATCTTTACTCGAGCTTTTGCTGCAATTTTTTTCCCTTTCTTGCAAAGATATTCGTCCACTGCTCCGCCGGAAACAAATTCCATCACCAAATAATAAGGCTGTAAAGTTGATCCTTTTACACTGTATTCAAATATGCAAAACAAAAATATTTGAAATTTTGTCTAATATTTCGTCATCTGTTTCTAGAAATTACTGAATGGTGTAGAAGAAAGATGGTTAAATAATATTAACTATTTTAAAAAGTCTTTTTGTGAGTCAAATAATTGCTCAAATTTGATCCCAAAAAAGTGTTCTTTATAAATATCCATTAAAGCTTTAATATAGGCTCGGAAAGTTTGTTAACAATCAAAATAGAAAGTTGCACTTTACTTAATGAACTGCTCATATACTTGCAAATAAATTCAAGAATTTTTTGTTCATTTTCTTAGTTTCAGATGTTGCTGCTATTTTAGTTTCACTTTATTCAACGTAAATTATCAAATCATAATCTTGTAGTAATTTTTGAGGAAGGAATGATTTCTATCAGTAAACCATGTGATGAAATTTGAACATTTCCCTTCCTAATATTTCAAATTTTCATCAACTAATTTTGTTTAAACTAAAGTTCGCTATATGGAAACTTTAACTTTTAAATTAAACTAAAGTTCAATTTAAAACTTAAAGTTTCTATATAGCGAGATGAATTTGTTTAATTTCGGGAAGAAAAAGGATCTTTACAGCAGCACGAGAAATAAAAATCTGACAGAGTTAATTCTTGCCTCAGAATTGAGAATGGAAAAAAATGCTGAAAGGCCAAATACCGTATAATCATTTGCTACTCCGTAGTACTTTACCACATTTGGATGGTCATACATTCGCATCACCCTTGCTTCTCTCCATAAAGCATTGCTTGCTTCAGCCGTTATTTCAGTTAGTTCTTTTACGGCTACCTAAAAAAAAAAAAACAAGATTAGGCCACTAGCCAATCTCGTTTTTTTACATTCCATCGAATAGTCATAATGATTTAAAAATTTCCAACAATTGATATTTGCTTTTTTATCCTAAAAGGAGGATTTGATATTTACAATTTTCAAATATAACTGACGGAACTAGCTTTACCGTTATCGATTTTTTTATACCGATTGTAATAGCTCCCTTGTAAACAGTACCAAATGATCCGCTGCCAATTTTTTTACCTAGCCTTATCATTTTATGTTGCAATTCCCAGTGTTGACGACGAATTGGTATTTCAAGTGTCACTACAATACTATTTACCGTCAAAGGGCGCTTTGTTACCTAAAATATTCAGCGACCGTTAATCTGATGTACTGAAATATGGTAGAGTATCACGGAGGTAAAAAATAAATAGATAAAAACCTGATAAAGGTTCAGAGTCTAGAAATGGAAATGATTTATTATCACAAAAAAATAACCTGATATGAATCAATTAAATCTTTCGTCTGACAAAAATGTTTTCCTTGGAATTTATAACCACCTTGTATACCGGGAACAATTTCAGAATTAACAACTTCATTACCCCATCGGATACTCAGTGTTATTTTATAGCCACGATCATGTTCCACAGCTCGCATTAAAAAATCACCACTGTTCTGCAACATATAAATATATTTTAGCTTTTTTTTATTAAGTTCTCTACTCATTTGTTTCCTCAAATTCATATAATTAACTCCTATTTATCCTTTTCACCTACTTGGATTAATTATTCGTTTTTCAAATTTCTCTGCTTAATCTACATTTCTTATTTTAGAAACGAAATGATATGTATCACTCCTTGGTTTCTTCGACTTGTGACAGTGGTGCTTTTACACTTAGTGTGCATTTAATTGTTATGTTGTAAATACTGATTGAATATTGTTAGAATGTTATCAGATCATTGTCCTTTTATCAACTGGCAGTAGTTATGTTTGGATAACAACGATACTAATTTCAATAAGCCTGGTAAATAGTAAGTAACATTCTGGAAGAATGCCGCACTATGCCGAATGCATGTGGATTTGTCTATCAGAAGTGCGTAATTCTAATAAATGGAATAATTCTATTTTATACCTTTAACAACATTGCAGTATCTTCATCGGGTATCATCCCATGCCAACAATCCATATCAGCGTGATCATAAATCCCACTCTCTTTCGGCATCCTTAAATTTTGCATCTGATTGATCCTTCTAATCGGCATATTTCTCCTAATAATCGTGATAACGCATTGAACTCAACTTTCGGTGATTAAAAAATTTCAGAAAGAGTTTGAATAAATATTTCAACTGCTTTTTATTGTCCGAATCTATGCAAAAATTACAGCCGTATTTTAAATTTTGGAATTTTGTATTCCGAATCTTTTCAGAGACTTTATGTGGCTATTCCTAGTAATAACGATCCATGTTGATTAGTTTACTTTGTTCTCTCATTAATTGAAATCATAAATATTATTCTTATGTATGACCAATCACAATGTTTTTTTTTTAAATGATATGTTTGGGAAGTACAGAGAATATCTTACTAGATAAACTATTTTTATTGATCTTCGGCATCATACTCCAAAAGATTTTTAAACTCAGTAATCTACAATTGCTAACAATCCATTGAAGGAATAAGAGCACTTTTGTAGATTTAAACAATTCTTGATGTGCCTCATTATTATGAGACTATTTAAGCAGTTTCTTCCATCATAAAAAAATAAAACCACATTGAGACCATAATATATTCAATGCCAGTGTAATACTAATAATTTTCTTAGTCGATGAGCACCTTCAACTTTATTACTCAAAACATATTATATTCTCAATGATTCACATTTGTGAGCGGGCATGGTGTGTGGATAGGAAAGTTGCATGTGTACTTGTTCAATAAATTATGATTAAATCAGATCAAAGTGAACTTTGCGACTAAAATTCAGAAAATAAAACGTTGGTATTTATATTCCAAACAACGTTAGTTCCATTACAAGTTGATCGTCTCTATGGATTGAGATGAAAAACTCAGTTCATAATGTTCTCTAAATATGGCCAGCATGAGTGAGGCCTAGTTAACACTTGTGCCCTATACCTTAGATGTACTTCCAGGCTACAACACAAATCTCCCGAAAATTTTATAATAGGGTTAGGTATAAATGCAGCACAGTTAAACTGCCATAATCATCTATTCCTCTTCGTCCTCTTCATTATCCTCATCCTCCTTTTTCCCCTTCCCTTCTTCATCTTCAGCATCTTTCTTTCCCTCTTTTTCATCCTCTTCTTTCTCTTTTTTCGGTCTTTTCTTCGGTTTCTCATTTTCCTCCTCCTTCTTCTCTTCTTCCTCCTCTTCTTCCTCTTCCTCCTCTTCCTCCTCTTTTCCTTTGCTAGCTTTCTTTTGTGCTTTCTCCTCCTCTTCCTCTTTACCTTCCTCTTCTTTCTTCTTCGGCTTCCGCTTCAACTTTTTGTCTTCAACTTCTTCTGAAAATGCTTTTACAAAAATATTAAATTTAAATGTGTGAAATGCTCTCCTGAAATTAGGAAACAATCTCACTTGCACACACACACAAGCTTAAGCTTACACTGTACCCACCAACTTTCTCTTCCTTTCTGTCCTCAACGTCCTCAGCTTTCAGTGCTGGCGTCTTTGTCACCTCAGCTTTTACTGGTTTCTTTTTCGCGTCTTTCACTGCAATACCCTTGTATGTTATCTTCACTTGTCGACGACAAGCGCCAATGCTTCCCTGTAACGTGGAATGCCAAATAGCTGTGGAACATTTGGTCTTATTTAACCTCTCTTGTCTTGCGCAAGGGTAAGATGTAATATGTCTTGCTTTACAGTTGATCGGGACCCCGGACTATCCAATCCTGTCATCATCTTCCGGCAGGCATGTGTGTAAGATAAAATCAAAGCTACTATGTCAGTTCTTATTGCTCTGCTGTAGTTCCAGTTTTTGTCAAAAAGCTTAAAAACCTCAGATCTTTTGCTTTCTTTCCAGCTTTTCCAAGTTTTCATAGCATTGGTGCATTTGTCGGGTGCTGGTGCCATGACAATTGTAAAATGATCCGTTTTCTTTGGTTTCTTACTTGGGTCCCATTTTTTTAATGTCAAAATTACTTTTTTCTGCAAATTTTTAGTAATAATTCAAAATCGGTTGACAAAAATAACAAAGATCGTTCTTGTAAACAGTTTAAATAATTCACTATCATCAAACATAAGATAGGCATGTAAGCTTATCTATTTAAATTTATATAAAAAAATGACAATATTTCACCAAATTAATAAACCTTGTCACCAGCTTCAACAAGCCCATAAACAGGTTTCATTTTGAATGCATCCGGTTTTGTGGTTTTCATTTTAAAAATGATTGCTTTGTTCCAATCATTTTTTATATCTAAATCTACCGCTTGGCGTTCAGTTAAGGGTGCTGAAAATGTTACCTGAAAAGCCTTGGTTTGAGGAATGTAAACTAAATATAGTTGGAAAAAGGCTTTTTTAAGAAAAAAAAAAAAAAAAAAAACAGAGTTAAGACAATTCTAAAATTTGATGAAGTTGTTTGCAAGATTTTAACCTATTTCCAAAAATGGAAACAGATTAAATTCACTCAAACAACTGAAAAACTTCTAATTAAAAGAATCCAGTTGCAGTTCCAGTTTCTAAAAACCATGTTGGCTAACTAGAATGTTAAGATCGTTAGATTAAGGTCGTTGAATAACGGACCGTAGCAGGTTGCACGGTAAGTTTCTTGTCCATTCCGCAAATCGAGGAAATGATTCCGGAGCAACCTTACACACAGGAGACAAATTGTAAAATGTTTATTATATATATATATATTACTGTTATATAATCGAATCGAAATTTCCATTTTCAAAATTTTCAAGTGATTCCCGAAGAACACAGCCCTATCTATGACAAATGAAATATTCCGAAATTTCCACTGCCAATTGATTAATGGTCAACACAAATTGCAAAAATGCAATTGGTAATTCATTATCAATCTCCATAACTGCGCACTTGATGATAGGAACATGATATTTTGCATTCAGCAAAACTTGCCAAAACAGTCAGCCAATATTATCACCAATCCCACGTTTTTTCGTTAGATCTGAAATGATTCATGGAATATTTCGAAATTTCCGAAGTGTACTAGCTTCTCGAACTGCAAAAGTAAAGTGCAAATCTCAGTCTCTATTATCAAGTAAACTGTTACATTCATATTTTATAGATAAGGAAGCCTAAGCCTAAGCCTAATATATATATATATAGAGAGAGAGAGAGAGAGAAAAAAAAAAAGAAAATCTGACAAATTTGATAAAAAATGATTTTTCAGCTTTGTTGCTAGTAAGATGTTATAAAAAAGCAAGTCTGATTTCTGTTTCCATTTTGTTCAGAATCTTCGGAGTTTTTTTCATAACTATGTGAAATTATTGCCGCATGCTCATCAATAAAGGATATGCAGTCAATACAGCAATGAGTTTTTTGAACCAAAAAATATTCTTGATATATCATAACATAGGGAAATTCCAGAGTTAAATCGCTTAAACCTGAATATTTTCTACAAATCAAAGGAAAACGTTCATATCATCAAGAAACAGCGTTATAGTAATATCTAAGAAATACTTAGAATCAATATGAAATTGCTCACAAAAAAAACGTTAACCTGTCGCATGCATTTAATGTTGAGATATTGTTACTGCCAAGTCAAATTCATAAACATTTAAATATGCCTTCTCAAAAGTCGTTATCAGATTATATTCATAGAAATGTTTGTTTCAGAATCTGTGGCATGCAACAGTATTGGTGATTTTGCAAGTGTTTGGGTTCAAAGGTTGGGTTTTGATATTTGTGGTTACGCGTAGCTTTGTTCAGGCTGGCTTGTCACACAATTGCATACATGGCATCATCGGAGGGAGTCTTCCCAGCGAACGATGTTAGTTTTACTTACAACTTTCTTTGACTTTGTAGAAGAATCGCTGTTGCTTCGTTATTATTTCAGTCTTGAGTCCAATTTTACAACGAAAATTTATATGCAGCATTGAAGTTTGGAAATGTTTAATTATGGTCAGGATAACAAGTTAGTGAATTAAATTGTCAGGATTGACATTATTTGTCGTGTGTTACTGAATACCGAAAAAAGCTATGGAGTACTAGAGATTTCTCAATTCTTCCAGCAGTCTAAAATCATTGCCTTTCTATATATATATATATATATATATATTTTTTTGTTATAGTGGGACAATTTCAATGAGAGTTCTATCGCAATTAATAGGTATGACAGTAAGTATGGATGCCATAAGGACGAAATTACTGGCCGTTTCGTTAGGAATAATTCTGAAGCTTCGAGCAATGCACAAAAATTTGGTAACTTTTGTTGACAAATTTTCAATTTATCAGTAAAGATGTAACAATTTGTTAGAGGTTTCATAACTCCGTCCTTCTAGAAGAAATGAAAACATACATGGAGATGTGTGACGACCATAGTTTCGCTATATAGAAGAATAACCAAGCTTAGTTGCATAATATGTGTTTCATTTAGAATAATTTAAGCCAAAACTATAATACTTATTTATTTGAAGTGAGAACAACTAATTAGCTTCAGTCTTAAAATTCGATATTATTTTGAAACCAGAATTTCTATGTCTCGTTCTTCCTAATTAAAGTTCTTTTAAAGGCGAAGACAGAGGTCCTTATATAGTTGAAAAAAAGGAAAACGTGAACAAAAATAGACGTCCAGAAGCTGGTCATTATTTGAATTATTTGCTCAAAGAAGATTTCGTTATGAATGGACCCGGCGAAAACATTAGTGTGGTGAAGTCTGTTTGTTACTATTTTAAAAAATTTCTTTAACATCGCGCGTATTTTGTTTCTTTTCGATTTTATCAGTAATTTTTTCTTTTCTCCATTCATTTGGAGTTTATTATCGATTTCTGTGGTCTTCACTTCTTATTAAAGAATTCTGAATTGTTGGCGGCGGTAATATGCATAGTATGTGTAAAGCATGTATGTTGAGTATAATATGTTTTCTGATGGTTTTATGGTTACTAAAAGGAACTTAATATACACCATTGTATTGATATCTAAAAGAGGACCTAACAACCTAATTTAATTTATTTCTTATCAAGCTGTTATTGACATGTGCATGTTAACATTGACATATTAATATATGCAAATAATGAGTGTATTCGATTTTAATTTAATGATTGTACATATTTGTTTTGTATAACTTCAGAACAGATCTAAAATATTTTTACTACTCGTCTAAGAAATATTCTTACTGTTCGTCTTGTTTAGATCGTTTGAAGAAATGAACTTAAATTCAAGACTCATGCAAAACATTCAGCAGAAGAATTACTACGAACCCTTACCGATACAGAGAGCAACATTTTCTTTAATTCAAGCCGGCAAGTAGTTTAATTTTAAATGATTCATACTTTTTCCCAGATTCGGCTGTTCTGAACATATTACTTTATCTTGCTGCAAAACTGTTACTTTAAACGAAATGGCTGTAACCAATTAAGAGTAGATTTGCTAGCAGCAGAGGTCGAGTAATATGCTTTCAGTATCATATAAAGCATTTCTATAATATTTCTCATGGTTGAAGTTTAGGTTTCGACGTAATTGGACATGCAATAACAGGAAGTGGGAAAACGGCAGCATTTTTAATACCAGTAATAAATTATATTTCAACTCAAAAAAGTAGAAGTTAGTTTTTTATTTAGCTAAAAATTTTTAGATGAACTCATGCTAATGATTACCCTTATTATGCATATTTTTTATCATTGCAGTGAATAACATTTTTTCTGTTTCGAGTGCTGACTTATTCATAATTTTTATTAAGTTTATCTGTATTTTGCTCTAATATTGTAATTCATTAAAGATTAAAGTAGAGAAATAATATTTTTCTTTTGAAGCTGAGTATGGTTGGAATACGTATCCTTATTGCATCGTCGTTTCACCAACTAAAGAGCTTGCTGAACAATTGTATGAAGACACGCTAGCATTTTCTGTTGGTATGTTCCAATTCAGTTTATGATCTAAAATTGAGATTCTTAAACTACCAGTTCCTAAAAAATGTTGCATGAGTGAAGTTTGGTTTTACTATGTATTTTAGTGTTTTTAAACATTTTTATTCTCTCCCGGAGAAAAATAAAAGGGAATTATAACTAAAAGTTATGGTCACTCAAGTCTGACTGACCATAACTTTTAGTTCAAGAATTTTGGTGATGTCTCTTGCTTGCTCTGAAATTGGAGAGAATGCATGCTAGTGAGCTTATAAGCTTGAAAACTTACTGAGCAGTGGAAGTAATTGTAACAGTGTTTTTTCAGGTTTAAATTGCGTCACTGTAGTGAGTTTTGGTGAGATACCTCGTAAAGACAGCATTGCGCGCATCAAAGAAGGGTGTGATATATTCATTTGTACTGTTGGACGACTCTGTGATTATCTTCAGAATAAGATTGTAAGTCATACCAGTTGTAGGTTTCCACAGTTTTATGGAGAATGTATGTTCAGATTGCATTGTATAAGCAATTATATTACATAAAAATATGTGTTGAAAAGCGCAACCCTCTGTGAATTTCTGTTCTCCCACTTCTAAGGTTGCAAAGATCACTAATCTTCTTACAGTTGCAAGCAATCCTCTACTATATATGCAACTTAAATTCAATATTTCTTCAGTGAAAGGTATTACAGTTAGATTTGCGCTGTTTACATTTTTTGGTCTTTGATGAAGCAGACAAGCTGTTACAAATGGAGGGGTTTTATCATGATTTGATTGAAAATCTTTTACCAAAGTGTCATGAGGTAGGTCATTTCGCATTTCTATCGTAGTTTTCAATACTTTTTCCAAATTTGGAGAATGGTCGTGTGTCACTGCTAAATAAAAATAAATAAAAGAGGAAGAATGTGTTCGTATATTGTAGCTTATTTATTTATTACGACAAAGAAAATAATTAAAATGCCATCCTCTACGACATGTCAACTCGTGATTTTGATTTTTCGACATCTGTAGAGAACTGGACCTGCATTTAAGAACTTAAATTATTATAGATTCCAAACCTCCGAAAAATGTTATTCAGTGCCACAGACTATAACGATCTTGCTGAATTAAAAGGTGAATGTTTGATGCCGAATGCTACAAAAGTTGTTGTTGGTACTCTGAACAGTGTAAACCCATTTATCGAACAGCGAGTTTTAAAGGTAGGCTGTTTTCACTTTTTTAATCCTTTAGTTTTTAATTAGGATTTTGTGAAGTTTTCGAATTTTCAAATTTCAGCAATAGTTTTGATTTAATTAATTAGTTATTAATTTCTGTTGCTTTTGGAAGCAAGTCTGATTTCGACAGATGCATTTTAATAATTCCCAACTTTTAATACGTAATATGTCTGAAGTAAACAGAGAGCGATATTCTAAAAAAAAACCAAATTTATCACAGTTAAATTATGCATGTATGTATGTATGTATGCATCTACTATATGTATATATATATATATGTTCCGTTCCAGGTTGAGGTTCATGAAAAGCGCGATGCATTGTTGAATTTAATGCAAGAAATATACTTAAAGAGTAATCCAGCATTAATAAAAATTTCTTATCTACTTCTACCCTAGATAGTAGTGCTTCCCTTGAGTGAAGGGAAAGCAAAGCAAATTTCACTCCGTCATTTCCAATTAAATCACAAAATCCTATTTTTCTGAGATATATCAGTGCAAGGCATGAATATTCAATAGAGATAAATAATTCGATGCTTATTTATCATTATGAACCTAATTGGCTATATAGATAATGAACCTAATTGGCTTAGGAAGATAATTCTCTCACAAGATATTTATTCTTTATTGCAGGGGATGATAATTCACCACCAAAAATAATTATTTTTGTTAATACAAAACGTTTTGCATCAGTTATTGCATGTTATCTGTCGTTGAAGGGATATAAAGCTTATCCAATTCATGCGTACGCTTTTGTTTCCCAATAAACTTGAAATTATTGCATTTCATATCATTTTCATAGTAGAAAAAAAAAACTTGTAGGGAAATGCTAATTTATCATTCCTGATATCCATGAGGTATTATTTTACATTTAACGTTATAAACCCTTGACCAGTTTGACTTTAGGTTGACTTTGATACTTTTTTCAGAAATCTTACTGCAAAGTTACGAAGAGAAGCGATTGAAGCCCTGCAAAGCTCCGATTGCCACATACTGGTATCCACTGATGTGGCTGCGCGAGGTTTGGATATCAAGGGCATTTCACATGTATATTATTTCAGAATTTTATGAATTTCATTTTTATATTAGAAGATGAAAATTATTCGAGACAAAATGTTTTGCAAGGTGTTACTCTTTGGATATGAAATATTTCTATTCTCAAAGTTTACAGTTACAATATATATATCGAATTTCTTTCGTTTATATCAGTCTTCTTGTTTAGATAATAAATTATGAAATACCCAGACCTGAAAGTTTTTTGTCATATGTTCACCGCGTTGGACGTACAGGACGCGTTGGAAATGTTGGTCGTGCAACCACATTTTTTGCTCAATCCGTGGATCACGGCATGGCTTTAGAACTTTACAGAGTACTATTTTGTAAAATTTTTTTACTCACAAATCTCAAAAGAAACCCTTGTTTCGAACTATCAATTATTTTGAAGAATTTTCAAAATATGCAACTAATGGTTTTGGGAGTTCAGACTTTAAATTTCATTGGATTTCTGAAAGGAACTCAAAATCATTTACACAATTCTCGATTTTTTTTCTTTTTGATTGCTCTTCTGATATTCACTCTTTCACATTTCAGTGGCTTAAAATGAATAAACAAGAAATACCTGTTTTCCTGCTTGAAGAAGTCGAGCGACAAATTAGTATCGAAGATTTGCAGAGGAAAACGAGGGAAAAATATGAGAAAGCATTGTATGAGAGTTATGTAGAAAGCAGCGATGGAGAAATTTGAAGCTCAAAAAAAGTATCTTATACCATTAGTTTACTTTGATAATTGTTAAATGTTCCACTGATTATGTGCAGATGTTTTTTTCTTATCTTAAATAGATTGAACTTTGGCAGGAACTTTGAATATGTTTTTGTAGGGTATGGATTTTCTGGTTTTTTCTTAATTCTTTGCTGTTCTAATCTCTCTATTTCAGACTATTTCAAGACTCCATTCCTTGATTTTGATGTAGTTCAGCACTTTCTTCTTGGCTACAATGTATATTGAAAGTTTTAAATTATGCAAATTTGTATTTATAAGCTCTATGGAATTTTTTTTTTTTTTTGCTGGAAAAATATTAAAATATTGCTGACCAAGGCTGTTTGTATTGTGTAGCTGATAAGATTAGTACAATTTCTTTTTCTTAAACATGAGACATTGATAGTTTAAGCTTAGACTTGGACGGACAAATTCAGTAAGTGTACGGAATTTATGATTGCGGAGATTTTTTTAAATTAAAGTCTTCAGAGATAACTTAGTTTGAGTTCAATCAAGAAAATAGATGTTTAGGAGGAAATATGTATTACATTTGTTTTAGTTTCTTCTGTTAATTTTATTTTATTAAATTAGCAATAAAACTAATGTGCTTTTGAAACTGATCATCATGTATTCCGAAATAGCTTTTAACTTTCATGTTAGTACTTGTGAGTCAGTTGAGAAAATCTTTTCTAGACAGATGACAGTATCCTAAGTCCATATATAAAAAAGAATTAGCCTCGAGGAAAATAAAAGCATCTTTTAAAAAACAACAGTCGTGATCACAATAGCTTATGGTAGTTGAACCTTTTTAAAAATATGTCATCCAGAGCGTTGTTCCTTGGAAAAAACATGGCGTTGTTTTGTTTGATGCCATCAGCATTCCATTTCCTACTGTCAAGGTCATGAAAAGTATGAAAATCCTCAATGTCACATCATTTCAATCGAGAGACAAATGGGTGGGTTATCCTAGATATCATAGGAGAATTTCACAAACTTTTATTTTTAATTTTTGAATGACTCAGCGAATTCCGAAAAGTGCATATTTTTCACCTATAAACTGAAACAGTTACTGAATGTTCGTTCTAAAATTTCCCATAAATTTCAACTCGAAAACCTCGACAATTTTCTACCTAATGTCATAAAATGTGTTCATTTCTTATGGCATCTAGTAATATGCTATTTTTGGTTTAACTGTATGCATGTAAAAAAAGTTGCAAAATGAGGTATTTGTAATGCACCAATACCTTATAATTTTTGTCATTTTGTAGTTCTGAGCTTTAAATTCTTTTGCTATAATACGTAGGTCCTTAATGTTGGTATTGATCACAAATTTTGCTGCAATTCAGTTAAACATTATATCGAAAATATCGTCTTTTGTTATCACTTCAAAATAGTACTTAATCCATCAGTACAGTTGCTTTTCTCTGCATTGCTGATTTAGAGATTGGTGACTAATCTACTTTGTCAAGATTGTATCGAGTAACTTATTCGGTTGGGAACAAAAAATTCACTGCTTCACAGCTTATTCCCACTTATCATCTTAAATCCGAGAAACAAATGCTCCCTTCTTTTATTTCGGAGAAAATATAACCGTGCTGAATTTATTTAGCAAGTAGAGCAAGGTAAAGTAAGGTAAAATAATTCGTATAAGAGAATAATTTTGTTGTTTAACTTGAAGAGTTGCTTAGGAGGGTTTTAATTCAATTAAATGAAAACAAGTAACTTTCAGCAAAATGTCAAAGTAACTTTGACATTTTGCTGAAATACCTCTCATCCTTTTTTCAGTGACTGGTTTTTTATTTCCTTAAAAAAAAGAATTTTAGTTGGACCATGATCATTCAACATAATGCGGTTTTCATATTACTTAGTACTACAAAGAGATTCAAATTTGTTTTCTTATTAGTATAATTAAAATTTTGGAAGACGTAGTCCATCTGTCGGTCATCTGTCATTCAAAAGTGCATTTTAGAAATAGGAACGCAATGATATCAGTTTGGATCATTCATTTCGTAATATTTATATACTTTGATTATGGAATCGGGAAATCCCAAACTCGTTGTGACATAATGCATCATAAACATTGCTGCAATCCATTTATTTACAACATATGTTTCGAGAAGGTACCCTTTTCATTGTATTTTAAAATGTTATCACTCTGCAAGGCACACATATTTACTATATAATAAACAAAAGAAGTTATGTTTCAACATGAAATCACCTAAATATGTAAATGTGAAGGTTTGCATTGAATTGTCTTTTAGTGCCATCGGTGGGCAACTCTGAACTGCTTCCGTAACATAGCACGGCATGACCAAAGTTTTGAGGATTTAATTGACGTGAAGGTATCCTTTCTTTCCATTGTTAATCGTAAAAGTAGTAGAAATGAAGTAATCGACAAAATAAAGGGGTTAGACATTATTGAGATGGTCGTTTTAATGCACTCAACTACTCGAATTCTCATTTCAAATGTGAACTATTTGGAAAGTTTTAAGACAAAATTATCTATCGTGCATTTATAAGCATTTATCCGAACTTCAATTTTTGAATGTTTGGCAAATGTCATTTTTTAGGAATGTGGCACAGTTAGTGCAGAATTTGCGCCATGTATTCAGAAAGAGATTGCTGATCAGATATTCTATGATTGCTGTAAATTATACGTTGAATCGAAGTGCCATGAACTGTGCCGATATGAAACAAACCGTGACGTGGCGCAATCACTTGTGTGTATTGCTTTCTAGTTTAATCTTTATTATTACACTGATATGCATACGACAATCACGCCTCGTTTTTTGTTCAACCAGTTTTATCGTCATGGACTCTTTCATAACTTGAGTTGTTTCTCCTAGGGAAGGTGATAGGTGATAGTAAAGGTGATAGTAAAAGGTAAAAAGCAGCTAAGTGTTTCATTTCTTTTGGACGTTAACGTAACGTAGATATACGTCATCAAGTTATGCTTTCAGTTACTGGAGACATTCCATAAGAAGAAATGTTCCTTGGATAGCATATCTTCTATACTATATTGTGCATCCCAAAATCGAGACAATCGGTTATGTTGCAAACAGTTTGGTCTAACATCGCCAAAATCTGGTATTAGTCGGAGATGTCTGCAAATGTGCGATCCGTACCGTTTAGACATTCTTACTCTACGAAAAGATTATTTTGTCTGCCTAAGTAACTGGGATATTATCATGTATTGTCATCACGGTGGACTCAGGTACTAGGAAAAGTCTGACATATATGCACTATATCTCATCTTGTCAGCAATGCCCTATAGTACAACTGTTACAGAACAAAGATGACATTTGCAATATTTGCTAACAAACACCAGTGGTCGAGTCACATAACCTTCTTCGCATCTTCCATTCTTCATTTTTTGTCTACTCATATCCAACTTTTTTCTTCAACAACTTTATGCCATTGTTGTTGTTGGTGGTGGTGGTGGTTTTTGTCAACTTGTAACTTTCATAAAAACTAAGGTAGTAGAAGCTACTTCTACAAAGTTGGGCAATGTTATATGATGTACGGAAAACCTGGTATAGTTCGACAATAACTCGAAAAAAAAAAATCTTTTAGTTAGACATGCAAAATGCGGAATAATTACAACTAATTCAGTGTACAAGTTTATTTACTTTTTACCTCAACAAACATCACGAATTTCATGCTGTTTCTTTTTAAGAATTGAGAAGGAGGCTGTTGATGATTGCATTTTTTTTCTTTTCTTGTTCGATAGATGGGCATGAAGGTGTAAGTAAATTTTACACTTTTTGATTTGTGGAAGTGAAAGGGACATCTCATATAAGAATGTGTTTTTATTTTTTATTGTACACGTTGGGTTAATAATTTCTTGATGAATTGTGAGCGATTATTTTGTGGTAATTTGAACAATGATCCACGAAATTTGATTCGGGTGCATTCAATTGTAACTATTGTTATGTCCGGTGGGACTCTTTTTAAACCGATATTGATAGTCAAACTACCTCGATAAATTTGATCATTGACTGAAATATTTGTGGGCTGTCCAAATTAAATTGTGAATTCCATTCGCATTACTGTTTTTTCTTGGTCTTAGATTATATCGGTTTCCTTAGCTATGACCCAACTGCTCAATGACAAGCTTTTTCGCTAAACTGATCTAACCTTAAATACTCAGATTCATTTTGTTCACGTTGCTCTCTTATATCATATAATCGACTAATATATTTCAATATTTTTCCAAAGAAGTTTTCAATTAGAAAAGCGTTGTTTGTTGGTAGTGTCACCTTCTAGGGATTTGGGTTTTGAAGTTTGCTCTTTTTTAAGATATAATAAAAGTAATGAGTTTAATTCCTTGAATTTCTGTGTTTACTTAATTATTTAAATGACTGAACTTGTTGTGTGGTACATACTTGTCAATCACATACATATCTTTCTACTAATTCGAGTATTCCAATATACAAAGTTCTCTATTCCATCTCTCTTTGATCGTGAATGCTTAGCATGGTTTTATTATTTGCCCATCACCGTCACCAAATGAAAGGAAGAAAAACAAATTGCCTAGCAAAGATTTGTCACTTTCAATTTTTATCAAAAAGACCGTTAAATTCTCCCGCACTTGCACTTGTCAGTTAAAACAAACCTGTAAGCTAGACCATCTCGCAATAGCTTGTCGGACGGGTAAATTGTGATCTCCGGGTAAACACGTTACTACCATCATCATTAACTTATCAGGTTAACTCATACAAGATAAGCTTAGTAATTAATGTGTTGCAGAAATTTGATTATCTAATTATAATTGAGGAATTATTCATTAACGAATTTTCAAGCACCAAGAAGAAACATGACAATTTCATATGAGGAGGAATTGTCATCACTGATGTTGCGATGGCGGGGGTCTCTATGGAAAGCGGTATTAAAGGATTTGATCGCTTTCTATTTTGCATATTATATTATTCTATTTTTCCAGGTATTTCTAATACTTTAATTCCTAGTTACGCAACTTTTTGTTAACTTTGAAGTGATGAATAAATTTTTATTTCAATAAAGAACAAAGAATAATGCTTTCCTCTTCTATTTTTTCAAAATATTCCTCTTGTTATGTTTAACTAATTCAATAATTAGTGATCAGTAACAATAATAATAAAGTAATAAGTAATCAGCTAACAAGCGATAAGTTAAAATTACAGGCTATAAATTACAGTTTAGAGGCCATAGATCATGGGTTAAATTCTGCAGCCTTCAATTTGCACTAAATTTCTAATTTTTTTTACAAATTAGAATTTTTTTTTAAGAAAAAAAAAATCGAAACACATCAAGAAATTTTACAAATTCCTAATTTGTAAAATTCGATTTTCTTCCTTGCTTTGCATGTAAAAACAACTGCATTTTTTGGAGCAGATCTTTTTAATGTAAAATTCCCACCCTAAATCTAAGATGCCTGGCGTTGTTCTGAATCAGTTGAAGCTTTTTATTAGAAAATTCATTAAATTCATTAAAAATTCAGGATGGTTTAATTGAAAAAGGTTCATCCCAGTACTTTGCATTTATCTCTTATATATATTCTACATCACATACAATTTTCTACTATAGCCTAAACATCACTTTTTAATGTGATCTTTTAATTAGAAAGACAACCACAAATTTATATCTAGGGATTTGAAAAGCATTGCATTCTAAGGACTGACTAATTAATAACCTCACTAATTAGTAACCTAATAAATGAAACTGAGACTTCTGATTTTTGACATTTATTAGATTAATATTTACAAGAAAAGTGGACATAAAATATTTGTTGCAGTGGTATTATCTAGATGAAAAACAAAAAGAATACTTCACAGGATGGATTATTTGGTGCGAAATTGGCTCTCAATATATTCCCTTATCATTCTTGCTTGGCTTCTTTGTTGCTGTTGTAGTAGCACGATGGTGGGAACAATTCAATTATATCAGTTGGCCTGATAAGTTAATGATGATGGTAGCAACGTGTTTACCCGGAGATCACAATTTACCCGTTCGACAAGCTATTGCGAGATGGTGCAGCTTACAGGTTTGTTTTGAAATGAGTAATAGCCAAGGATATTGTCACAAATAAATATTTCTACGAGATATGTTTGCTATCATAACAAGCAACAATGTTGTTCATCATTTTGAATAGAATACATGAACAATGTTATTTTAGGCAGCTATTGCTTGGTCCGGAATATCAGTTCGTACCTTAAAGCGGTTCCCAACGGAACGACATTTAGTAGAGGCACATTTGATGACTGAAGAAGAGTATAAAATGTTTACAGGTGTAGAGGAAAGACATGGCAAATGGTAAATTCAGAGATTTAAAAATGTATTCCACATAGGGATGAAACAATTCATCACTTCAAACTTATCTAAGTAATTACTTTTGAATGGGAGTTAATTTAGTAAAGGAACTTTTCATTGGTAAGTTGCTGGTGCATTTCCTGAAAACTACATTATTCAGCTCCCAGGTTTGTACCGGTAATGTGGATATCAAATTTATTGGGAGCATTGTATCGACAACAACGAATTGATTCCGTGCAGCTTAATATGCTAATGCAACAACTTTACTCATTCAGGGATGGTTTCGCTATGCTGTTTGTTTATGATTGGGTGAAAATTCCTCTTGTTTATACACAGGTAAACTTACTGTAGACCAGAGACTAATGTTAATGAGGACAATGTGCCTAATGACTACAGTAATTTCGAATTCAAAGTGCACAATAACTATTCATCAAAAAATGAGACTACCACAAAACTTCACAAACTTTCAAATTTTATAGGTTGTAGCGATAGCAACCTACGGATACTTTATGATCTGTTTGATTGGACGGCAACCAAAAATTGACGAACATTCAATGAGAAAAGAAGTATCCATATTATTTCCAGTTTTTACAACTTTTCAAATATTGTTCTATATTGGATGGCTTAAAGTTGGCCAGTACCTAATGAATCCATTCGGTGAAGATGACGATGATTTTGGTTGCGTTTTTATTTCAATACTTTTAAGCCTTAATAACATTATAAGTACAACTCGGTCAGTTTACTAATCTAACGAATGATTCAAATTACTGATTATTATTTATCATCCTTTCATCTAGTACACCATCAAAATAACTACAATGCATGAAAATGGAGAGGCCAAGGAACAATAAGAATATTTGCAAAATTGTCTGCACTTCACTTCGCTGAAGTAATGTAGTTGATGTATTGTATTTCATAATTATATGGAATATCTTATTAGTCACTAAACTTTTTCCAAATAACTGTAGTGGAAAATGAGAGCAAGAATTTGGTGGTGACATATATTATTGTTTATGATTAAATCACTTCATTTATTGTGAATGAAACTGGGAAATAAAAAAGTTCTTTATGATGAAGTAATGATAAAACGATTTTTTAGAGCTGAACTATGTGCTAGATCGAAACACATTCATCGCACATATGATGGCAACAGATTTAGCTAATCAATTACCTACAATTAGCAGGAATGGGATGCGTGTTCTTCTCCCACATACGAAAGCATCATTTAAAATACAGGCGAGTGAATATCAAACGAACTTCTAGAAATTTCATATAGTATATTTGATCTTTGGTTTGAAGCTTCTCATCAAGTATTTATCTTCCTTTTATTTTATTTAAGTTCACATCTTACTTAGATTTAGGATGTCATCCCAAAAAGTCATTTAATGGATTTCAAATTAACAGAAGACGAGATGAAACTTATTCAATTGGACGAACTCCTGGGAAACAGTGAAAATGATCAAAAAACAACCAAACAAAAATCTGGATTATTATCACGAAATGTCGGAGTAAACAGAAAGTATTTGTTGATATTTCTCTTCTGAACAACAGTAGATTCTAACTGGTCTTTTTTAAGTTTCAAGAAATCTACATTACCTAACTAAAACTCTATGACAGATTAGTTCTGAAGAGTGGAATTTGGAAACTTTTCAGGACGAATTGCAGATATGCCCGAGAAAGAACTACATTCATCTGATTCTTATGTCGCGTAGTTCACATTTATCGATTGATTTGCTTTAAAAATTTCGAAGATATCTTTTTATTCCTATTAAATAAATGAAAAAGATATCAATTTTAAAAAGGGACCTTCTTATGTACTGAATTGTATATCTAATTCTGAAAAAAAAAAAAAAAAAAAAAAAGATTATCATACTAACTGTTAGATTAGAACTTGAACAACTAAGATTTAGTTTCGGAAAGTATAAAAATATGAAAAAAGAATAACAACTTATACAGTAATTTTCTTCATTATTTTTATATAAGCAGCAATTCTTCCATGTCCATTCGACACTATCAATACTATAGCTTTATGGAATGCGTTATTGAGAGCGATGCTGCTGAAAAAGAATATACCGAAAAGATGGAATTAATTTTTGTGGAAAAGAAAATAATCCAAAAATTGAACAAACACTGGTGAAAATTTTAAACAAATCGTTCTTTCAATCATAATAAAAAAGTTAGGATGAAAAATTTAATTAAGAATTCATATAGTTGTGGCACGCAAAAACCTGAAGAATAGCTGAAAAAATCCATTCATACTGAGAGGAGGGAGAGAGGGGAGAGGAGTGATTTTGCTTCCACTCATTTCCACCACCGATGACATATTTGGAATTTGTGGTACCTTATTTTTTCTCTTCAGATTTCTGTTTCATTTGTTTCGTGTTGCACGTAAGATTGGTCGTTTTGATACTATTGTAAAATTTCTTATCACTAAAAATTATCATCGTTGGTTTTATGATAACTTTAAATTTGAATTTTGGAACGGGATTTCATATGAAATTATTCAATTCTAAATATCAAACAGAAAACAGAAAAATTTGGAAAGGTTAAAATTAAAAATTAATTTTCTTACCCAATTATTTAATCTTATCTTAAAATTTATAATCTCTGTTAAATGCCTACTTGCTTCCGCGTGCGGTAAATAATTATTCCCGTTAATAACGTGTTGCCAGAGGACTTGAGCCTGATAAATCGGTTAACTCAAATCCGTAACAAATATTGTGGCAAGATTTTAAATTGAAAAATGTTGATAACACTTGTTTAAAATTGGCCAGAATTAGCAGTAGGAACGACAGCTATGATCTCTGCAACAGAAAAATTAAAAGATAAATTTGTAAAATTTAAGAATAGCATAACTTTAAATTTCTAAAATGCTAGTTTGTTAGTAAAATGAATGGAAATTTAAGGATTTCCGTCAATTACGACTTTCAAACGCATTTGCATTTTAACATTTGAAAAAAAAAAAAAATACATTTGGACATAAGCGATAGGCTGTGCTGTAAGATAACACCTGTGATAAACAAAAGTTCGAATTTTTGAAAATGAAACACAAAAATAGGTAGGAAATTGTTTCGGAAAATCAATAATTTAAATAAATATTTCTCAAAAACTGAGCTCACCGCTCTCTAAACAAATATGTTTGCAAGATCCAGAATCTAGAGTTTTCTATGACTTGCTTACAGGATAACGAACTTACGCTGTAAAGCTGGAACCAGAACAAAAAAATAAAAAACTGAAAAAATGATAGTCTCATTGGAAATAAATAAATAATAAAGCTTAGGATATTAGGTTAATTCACAAAATTCAATTCACATTTATAAATAGAGGAAAAAAAGTATTGAAATACTTATTTGAAGTACTTTCATTCATATATTTTTATGTCAATTAAGAGCTCTAAAGGAGTGGTTAAAAAAAAAACTAGTGGCTAGGATTCATGCCTTCACACACGCGGCGCACTTTTGATTCCCGGCATGGGAGTACGCCCCCCCCCCTCCCCCCCCCCCCCCCCCTGTGTAGATGCATACTTTATGTTCATTTATTAAAAAGTCGAATTTATAAAAATATATGTTGATATTCTTCGGTTCTCACTTTTCAGTTGCTGTCTGCTGATAAATAACTGAAACTGTAATGTTACTCTCATGTCCTCTATGATGACCGCAGGCTTTTTGTACATTGATTGAGCTAATGGATTCAAAATATCATTTTATGTTACCAGACGATTATAAAGTTTCATTTACCAAATATTTTAGATAGAATATTTTCTTTGCTTCTAATCGGACTGTTATGAAAACAAAAGTTTAGTGGGCTCAATTTAAAAAAAAAAAAAGAGCGAAATAGATTTTTTGTGAGAATTGAAATAAATTAAAATTTTGTTAAGTTGCAAAAAAGAGAAAACATAAAATGCAGTGTTCAAATTTCAGTTTTTAAAAAATTTCTGTCAAAATTTTCTGTTTGAAATAAATTTCTATTAGCAAAAAAAAAAATGATTACAGCTTACAAGTAATTATCAAATAATTAATTAAAAACTGATATTAAAAAAAGGAGCATTTAATTGGTTATGTATAACAATATATTATTTATCCTGTTAACTTTAATTCTGTTAACATTCGATCGCGCCAGCAAAATTATCTTCTCGATCACAAATTATCTTCTCGATCATTCTTATCTTTCTTTCTAATTTTAAGAATTATTTAATAAGTAATTAGTGTTAACTTCCAATTAAACCAAAATATGGTTGGTACATCATTACATGAACATCATTTTAAGTCACTTTTTTCTAATTACTCTGTTTCACCTGGTTTGCTATTTCGTATAAGCTAAGAATTTCCGGAATTTTTCGTCAGTATGATAGTTTACATCGACAATTTATCGCGCGTTGAAAGAAGACAAAGCGTTGTATGATGCGCTGCAGTTAAAATGAAAGAATTTTACAATAGTGAAATTGAGTGAAATGTTGCATTAATGGTAAAATTAAAATTTTATTTTTTCAACTCTTAAATTCTAATTGTTTTTTTCAGATTTAAAATATACGTCTAAGTGTTTTTTTTTTTTTTTTTAATGTAATTAACGCAATTAATGATCAAAGACATTTAAGAGATTATTATTACTATTATTGTTATTACTTGTTATTTTTATTGTCATTATTGTTGCTGCAAAGCAAAATTCTCTAATAGAAGCAGGTTTATTGATGGAAAAAAATTATGTAATGGACAGTTAGTGAATATTTTCGTTTTCTCGGATTGTGAACCATTCTTATCTCTTCTCACAGAAAGTTGGTTAATTAATGAAAAGGAACAAATTGTTGCTTAAATAAATAGATATAGAAATGAATATAAATATAAGTAAAAATATAAACTGGCTTCGTTTTGTATTTCTCTAGCAATAGGTTATTATGCAGTAAAAGTATTTTAAAAATATACATCGACAACATTTGGAAAGTTAATTTCAGCTTTTGTCTTGATCCAGGAAGTGCAAGACTTTGGTATTTATTTATATTATCAGCATGACAGCATTACAACTATTAATATATTCATTAGAATTGAAAAATTAATATATATTCATTAAAATTATCATTTTTAGTTTTTTCAATCTTTTCCAATTTTTTCTTCAAATTCTTTACTTCCGTCAATTTTATTAACACATGCTTATGATAACATTGATGAGCATTTGTCAAATAATTATTACCCATACGATAGTAATAATGGTCATAATAATGACAACAATAATAATAACAAAAAAATATTAACTCATTATGAGAGAGAGAAAATGAAGCGTGGGTGGAGAATATGAATTTAATCAAATCAATAAAATCTCAAAATTTTCTATTAAGCAAAAAATATGACAACGATGGAAAATCATTTGCAATGTGTGAATTCAAATATTAATTAAATGCATTGTATGACACTGTTTTTATTACTATTTTGCATAAGCAATTGATTTTCCTTCTTTTTTCTTTATGATAGAAATGAGCTTATACATACAAATTTGATTGAAATTTAAGGGAAAAAAATTCTCAGAAACATTTAGCAGTTGTATTTGCATAATTTTATTTCTATAAAAGTGAATAAAAAAATTTATTCCATTAAATCATTAATGTTATTGCATTAAAATTGATCACAGCAAACATTAGAAAGTCCGCAAATTTCACAAACTCCTAATAAAATCCCACTTATGTACTTGTGGGAGTCGATAAGTTGGCCAAGTCATTTACCTGTAGTTTCCTTCTTATAAAATAAATGCGGGAGGACTCAAGGTAATTAAATTAAAAACTGAAAGAAATAAGATTACCTTTCTTCCTATCTTCAGTTCACTGATTCATCTCAAACAAAATCTGTAATTTCAGCCTGCTCTTGCCAGGGAAATCCTGTGATCTATGTCTCTTTTTCAAGTTTACAAGGATAGACCTTGTGTTAGGCTTATGAGTCTAGATAATCTATAAAGATGAAAGCAATTTGCTAATTGCAGAAGAACACAGAAAATGGAAGTTAAAGTACGCAGTAGGGCAAAGGGTATTTCAATGGAAAAGATCATTTTCTTTCTCTGAAAGACTTGAGTCAGAAGCACGTATGTATTACTTGTTTTTAACGTAAGACTGCTTACTGATCAAGTAATAGGTGGTGACTCAACTAAGAAGAACAAGGTAATCAGGACTTTTCTTCAATGATACTAACCTCAGCATATTAAGATACACCTATGAATCTATATTTTAAAAAAAGATACAAGAAAGTAACTGTTAGTAAGCGTAAGAAAAAATCGTTTAGGAAATCACGACAGGAAAATCGCAATGTCCATCTTTCAAAAGGTTCCTTGAACCAACAGCAGTGATTGTCAATTAGCCCTATCTCGACACGCACGGACCATACTCAGACACGAAGCAACGTGAGAGTACAGCTGTGAAGAACAATCAATGCCTAGGAGCTATACTTGCTATCGTATTCTTCCACACCTACCGCAGGACAACAAAGGATTCTCTTTTTTTCTAATTTGCACGTACCATTAAAAAACTTGACTGTTTCTTCCTTTTCTCTTTTGGCAGTTGTCTTTGTGGAACCTTAGAATGAATATTTCCTCTTTCTGCAGCTGCTGCCACTGTATGTTGACTCCAAACCTTGACCCGAACCTTATGTTGACTCCAAACCGGAACCTTGTCCCGAACCTTATGTTGACTCCAAACCTTGACCCGAACCTTATGTTGACTCCAAACCTGTGACCGAACCTTATGTTGACTCCGAATCTGGTTCTCACTTTTTCTGTTGTGATATGACCAATCATTTAAGTACTTGTTATATTTATGTAAATTAGAAAAGAGATTAATAATGTTTATTGCGTTTTGCATATGGAATATTGCAATTGAGTTATCGCTCATTTTGATAAGTTTCCAAAGTTATTCAGGTCTGGACGACATTCAGGATGTTTCTCGGGATACCAGGTCTGAATAAGTTCGTTTCAAGCATTACCATTTCGGAACTCGATGACTTTCCCGGTGAGTTACTTATGTTTTTTTTTAATAAATTTACATTTACCCGACACAAATTCATGCAACATAGGAAACATTAGCTTATCTGATGAGTGCTATTAAAGGAGCTGTTTGTTTAGTGAAGGCATATTACAAGCCTTTAAACAGATAAACAAATTATGATAGAAACTAAAACTAATCAGGAATTGCTGAATAAGGGATTTGCAGTACCTGGAGGGAGTCTCTTATTTGTTGTTCATTATCTTTTGTCCTTCTCTATCAGTTAATTTATTAATTCCATATCATTACTATCTTTACGGTCTTCGATTCATAATTGTTTTATTCACTAAGGTAAAGCATGGTAGTTTAAATACATTATTCAGACAATGGAGAGTCTTCTTATACTGTGATTTGAAAAAAGTGATAACCGATAGAAACATTGGAAAAGAAATCGAAGATATTACAAAATGAAGATGTCAGGAATGATATAACTAAAACGTAGTGCAAAAAATGTAGGCTGAGTAGGAACTTGATATTGGAAGGTAAAGTAATTTTTCATGCATTCTATTTCAGACCGCTGCAATTATTTTTACACAGTTTTGACGTTATTATTCTTCTCACTACTTATTGGTACCAAACAACATTTCGGTGCTCCAATTCGTTGCCTTGTCGATCGGCAATACTCAGGTTGACTCATGGCTTTTTTGGTTTTCGTGAGTTTATTGCTTTATAAACGTTTTCATCATCATAGTGATGTTTAAGGTTCTATAATTCATTGCCTCACGTAACCATGCATTTTATAAAATATTGGGGTGTAGAAGTTTTAAATCTTTAGTTTATTAGTAGGATAAAAAGCATACCGTTTTTCTTCTTTTTGTATCTGTTTGAAGAATTATAAGCTGATGAAAACTTAAATAAGTGAAATAAAGTCTTCATTTTTCAATGAAGAATTTAGGTTCTTGGATTGGTTATGTACATGATTACTGCTTCATATCGGAACGTTATTCGTTAACTCCACCTGAATATGAAGCAGATGAAATTGCCGCTTTCGACCCAACGCATGAGAAAAAGTATGAAAATTATTACCAGGTAAAATTTAATCACTGAATAACATTTAATTCTAATACTTGATGTCACATATTGTTTTCTAATGTAACCTGGAGATAATGATACTTTCTAATTTTAAAGTGTGAATAAAGTGATCCTTTTATCTTAATTAATCTTACATTCCAGATTCCGTAGCTATGAAAAAGATATTTCTAATTATTTTTTGTCCTCTGTCAATAAATATTTTTATAGTTTTATAGACCTTATCTTAAAAATAATCTGAGTAGTCATGTTAAGGTGATGTTTTCGTGATTGATAGTTTTCGAATAGTCATGTTAAGGTATGTTTTCGTGATTGATAGTTTTGATGATTTCTTATCACAAAAAAAAAAATAATAATTGAAAAGGAACGATAAAGGTGAAGAAGTAACTGCAATGCTCTTACATTTTATTGCAGTGGGTGCCATTTCTTTTGGCTGCTCAAGCGCTATCCTTCTATGTGCCACATTTTCTGTGGAGATGGTTTCAAAAATTAAGCAGTAAGTTCGTATGATTGAATATAAAGGTTGTGAAAATGCTTTAAGTTATTTATTCTGTAAGAGTGCTTTTGTTTTTTTTTCTCTGCTTTCTACACGTCTTTTCATGGATTTAGCTAGATTGCATTATAAAATTTTGAATTTGAACTTGGTTGTTACTTTATTTGAGGCTACTTTTTTTTTTTTCATAGTTTTCTTTTTATTGGTTTCTGTGAAAAGAAAATATAAATGATTTGTCTGAAAAATGTTCATATTACTTTGCTTCTGAATCGTAGTTGATTTCTTTTTAAAAAATACTTCTCCTTCCTCCAGATTGCCAGCATTATAGTTTTCTCATATAGATTTGGATATGGCTTTCACAGTAGCTGAAGCAACTCGAATATACCATATGTTCAGAGATGAACGCAGTAAGGCTCTAAAAGATTTAGTGCGATATCTTGAACAGGTAATACTTTTTTAAAGGTTCTCTTTTTTGTCAAAGTTATAGTATGAATTCTGTCCATTGTAAGGAATACTACTTTGGTATGGAACTTAATCTCAATCTTTAGACAGTACTATCATGAGTGTTAGCTATCGTTTAAAAGAACAGTTGTATCTTAGAATATTTGCTCTCATTTCAAAGTGAAGTACATTTTGTGCACGTTAAACTTTTTTCTATTATCTTGTGAATAAAATTGTAGTGGTTAGGGCAGTCGATAGCTGATTTGAAAAAGGAAGAGTAATTTTTATAAGTTGTATGAGTCATAGGTTTAATTTTGTATTATATGAATGCTTTTTTTAGCCATTCTGTTCACTGCTATGAATGACTGTCTGCACAGATAGCTTTGGGAAATGAATTAGCATCCTGTTCCGAAATTTTCTCCTTAATTTATTCCTTCCTTAACTTTTTGATGGTTCACACCATCCGATATTAGTTGATCCATAGATTACGATATGCTTCAAAATCGCACATTTTGTTAACTATATAATCATGTGGAAATGTTGTAGTGTCTAGTTTATCCAGTTCGGCATTCCGTTTTCGAAAATATCACTCGTGTCACTCTTGTTGGATGGTATTCGTCGCTCGTTTATGTACTTGAAAAATTGTTAAATATTGCAAACACGGTCTTGCAGCTTTATGTCGTTAATGCATTTGTAGGTGACGGAACACTGCTTTGGGGTTATCAGGTTCGTTTGCTTCGTTAATTACTCAAAATTCCAATAGTGATGCAGGAAATGTTGTATTCTATTTATATTTATTACTCCAAATAAATTCATATTTTCCTTAATATCATTATAGAAAATACTCGACTTCTTTATATCGAACTATACATACTACAGATTAAATCAGTTATCAGCAATCCTGATCAGATCCGTTTGCAGCTAATCAAGGATCTTTGGACAGGGAAAGACTGGGCGACCACTGGGCATTTTCCGCGAGTGGTATATTGCGACTATATTAAGCATGAACTTGCGAACGTTCAGCGCAGAACAGTTCAGTGTGCGCTTGCAATAAATATACTTAATGAAAAGGTTCTTAAATTTTTTTATAATCCAGTCATATTGGTGATTGAAATCTTATCTACGTCATTAGTTTCTTTAAAAACGGTTAAATAGGTGTTCGCAGTAATGTCTGCATGGTTGTTGCTGCTGCTTGCAGTCAATATTATTAGCGCAATTTACACAGTTACCATATTGTTCATGCCGACATTCCGTAAGCGTTCTGTATCAAATTATTTTCAGGTTTGATTATGCTTTATTTTTACAAATGCATTACTTTTAATATTTACTTGGTAAAAAAGTTCTTGTGTGACACACATTAGGTTTTAAGTTTTCCGGAAAGAATCAGTAACAAATAGAAACATTTATTATAGGCTATATACTTCACGTTTGACCTGAATTTGAAGATCTAAATAGACGAACCGATAAATAAAACTTTGTTTTTGTTAAAATGATTGTACGAAAGATTGTTTTGATTCCTTTTGATCAGTAACGATTTCTAAATAACGTTTTGGGGTTTTCCTGGTTTATGATGACACATTGCTAAATTATATTTGCTGAATTACACAGTTATAGCACAGTGTACGTCATAGAAATATTTTTAATGCATTTTAGGATTTCGTTTGCAGAGAAGAACCGCTCGATGATAACCTCTTTGATAATAGTGAGTTTTTATAAAGTTAGTCATTTCATTTTTGAAAGAACTTTCTTAATTCTTCAATATTTTTCTCTATATTTTCCAGTGTAATTTACCCCGGAATTGTATAGTAGCTTTACTTGTTATATCTGTAATTTACACATGGTTTTATGCAGGTTAAACACCGCAGATTTTTTCTTTTATTGTTAATAAATGCTTAGGTTTAAATTTCTTTGACATTTTTGACAAATTTTAGAACGTATTCCATTTATGAATTATAAAGCAAAGGCTTTTTATATGCCTGAAAATGTACAAAACTACTTTTTAAGATTACATTGATTTTTCTGTAAAAATATTCCAGCCCACAAATAAACATAAAAGAGGCATTTTAAAGTAGCTAAAGTTCTTCTGATTTATAATGGAATAATCAAAAAGCATCTCTTTATAGTAGATCTGATTTGCGGTGCTTTGTCCAACGATGGAGCGTTATTTTCCATTAACTCCAATAATGCTGCTATTACAGCACTGAATTACAGAATCGCATTACAGATTACTGTAATATTTTCTTGTTCTTTTCTTATCCTTCCCGTTTGCGACACAGTTTCAAATATCGGATATGTAATTTTAAGCATAATATGTCCTAACGTTTTCTGCCATTTAATTGGATTAATGGAAAATTTTCTTCATCTTGCAAAACAGTACCGACCAATGCAATAGAATGGTCTTTGATAAGTTTCGCTATTTTAATAATACTTTTCGTAATTTTTAAAGTTGAAAAATCTTGTTCAGATGGTGATTTTTGTGAGAAGTTGTCCGAGGACCATTTTTCAAATACTACAAACGCTTCATTTCCCAGAATTAGGTAAGGAACAAATAATTTTTACGATTTTTTGCCATAATGTCACACTTCCAATTCAAATTCAAATTGTTTTCCTCTTAAATTTATGCCATGAATCAATAAGTTCAGTTTCCAAAAATTTCCTTATGTTCTTTAAAAAGGTATTTTAGACGTCGTCTGTGTGCAACGGCTGAATGCGAAACTGTTAACACAGAGAGTGAAAAGACGCGAGGATCTAAAGAACAGAAACAGGCGATTTCCTATCGACAATTAATATTACTAGCACGTAATTTTCAAAATTGCAAATTTATAACAATCTTTTTGTTTGGAGCAAACAAAGAAGACTTTACACTTATGAGGAACGATCTCGACATTAGCTCGCTGCCTTATTTGAATTTCATTTCTGTTCAAACATTTACTGAGTAAACTCACATATGTGCTGACAGTGTTTGGTAAGGTGTCATATACTTTCATTTATTTGATTCATGAAACAGGCTTAAAAATTAAGCTTTTTTATGAAATTTATCAATTTTAGATCAAAACAAATATTTTCTAAATAATTTTATTTGCGAAGCAATGCATCCAGACAGTGTTCTTCTATTGCACTTTATACAATCTCATGTGGGTAGGATAGTTGCATCTGATATTGTGTTCACACTTTGGGCTGATTATGTAAAAGCAAAGGAGTCCAGAAGACATAAGTACCAACCGAAAGTTATGGATGGCATGGCATATGGTAATCTTCATTATTCAAAATTAATAAATAAAATAACATACTGAAAAAAAAAAAAAAAAAAATAGGATAGAATATATTCTGTGTAGCACTAAGTTGAATTTTGTGATATTAGAACATCAAGTTTAGCAAATAGCGTTTAGAGGAATATCAGAATTGTTCAATTTTCCTCTCTTATCGTCCTTGCGCAGTAACGGAGACTGATTTTGTAATTGGAGAAATGCTTTTCTTGTTTGCATCCTAATTTTTCCTGTTTGTACTTATTTAATGTTTACGGCTTTTTAAAATAATCATTTTAGATTTGGTCATGATAAGTACCATAAAACAAGTAAGGTATCGTTTTTAGCTTCTTGTAATGACATTTAATAGTTGTCTCACTTCGAAAGTATAATTCGTATTGTTGTTTTTTTATTATACTAAGTTTGCGCTTGTTTCTCATGCATTTATTTTTTTGTCTCTAACTCGTTCTAACTGCCTTCTGTTTCTCGTTCTAATTACCATGTTTGTTTTAACTGTCATGTTTTTATTTATTGAAAAAAAGTGTTATTTATTGTATTGGTGCTGAATATATTACGGTAGTATTCAACAGCTACTTCCCTGAGCGATCTTTGTTGCTTTCAGAAACACCGACCTTGGAGGAAAACCTAACAGTACTGAACAATAACCGATATTTTAATATGTCTTCCTCAAAAAATGATTCAGTGGATGCCGATTTTCTTTTAAAACCAAAAGAATATTCACAAGTAGTAAGTTATCACGCCTTTCTTTTAAGGAAAAAGATAATGCTTATAGTACTTGGATGATTATTTCTCAAAAAAATTTAACAAAACTTATTTATTGCGTTGATGTTTTTTCTAACGATTTTTCTGGGTAGTGCTCTTGATAGATAATTTTCTACTTTAAAACCATCTTTTTAGTTGCCATTAAATCTCTGTTCAAAAGAGTTAGCTTCCACAAAAGTGTTCTGAATCACTATAAAACTACCTGAATATAAAAATACATTATATGTTTACCTTCAGCAGTCATTAAATTAATGCTTAAGATCAAGCAAAAGCAAAGAGAGACGAACCGTCATTACTACTTTTCACATTAAAAACAAATTGTAATTGATGTAATTTATGTGATAACAAATTGTAATTTATATGATTACATGCATTTATTATTATAAACATTTTATACTGTTGCAAAATATTTATGCATTTCAAGAGGATTTTCCAGTTCTTAGAATCTTTTATAGGTTGATTCTGTGGATTCATGTTCATCTACAGTGTGCTCGTAAGTCTTTACACTTCTTTTGTTAATCTAATAAATCGGATTGATTTGAGTTAGAAATGAACTCCAGTTAGTCTGTTTATTTATATCGGATTGATTTGAGTTAGAAATGAACTCCAGTTAGTCTGTTTATTTATTGTAAGGATTTATTATATTTCCTTGTGTTATACATAAGGTTGATTTCCAGAGGCCGAAATATATTCATTGGAAAAATTGGTAACTGAAGAAGCAAATGACTGATGATCTTTCTTACTGATGAACGTTCTTTTTGTGAGTTCGTTGGATTATTTTCTCATTTCTCTTTTTCAGTTGAATTTCTTTATTAAATTCTTACCATTGTCGTTTGCGCTCAAAATTTCTGTTTTTCCTTGTCTGCAGTTAACAACACTGTTCGTTAAACTAGTGCCTACGATTACTGACAATATAAAATCCGTGATGTAAAACTGAACAAGTATAAAGATTCATTACTCTTTCACATCTCGACAATTGTGTCATTTCAGTCGTGTTCGGTTTCCCTCCAGAGCTCTCATATTATTTTGTGCAGTTCATTTTCTGTCTAGATTGTCGATGTTAGGTGTCAGTTTTCCAGCGACAGGATCATTCCGTTTTGTCATACAAACTTCCGTTTTATAAGACTTGACATTTCTTGAAAATGCCAATGCTTGTTGCTATTCCAACAACTGAGTGAAATATCAAGATAAGAAAGAAATAAATCTGAATCACACAAGAGCTCTGAATACAATAAAGCTTTACGGTATTTACGCAATCGCACCTGAGAAAAACGAGCAGATATTGTAGCTCTTCAGTACGATGCACATTTATTGAGGTTATTATTGAGGTCATCAGGAGCTTATTTTATTTTTTCTTATTTCCTATAGCTTATTGACCATTTTATTGCTTATAAATTTTCCTATATTAAAAAACATGTTTGAAGGTAATTTAGCTACAAAATTTATGTTACTATATGGAATGGAAATTGATTCTTTCCCCAAACTTCTGTCTGGCGTGCCATACTCACTGAATATCCTTTGTTGTCTGTCTTGCGTATTATCTGTCTGACCGTTTCTTTTTTGTTCCAGTCATATTTTCTTATTTTAGCACATTTGTCACCTTAAACTTCAGCACTGCACAAGTGTATCTTAGGAGAAATCTTGCTTATGGCTGTAGAAGTCGTAAAAAGACTTGATGAAATAAAAAAGGAAAGAGTTATTTATAATTTGAGAATGTGATGGTTTGAAATTTTTGAATAATACGTCATGCTAATTGTAAATATTTCAGCTCTTTCCAATTATTTTCTTACATTTGGGTCTCGTTTATATTTAATGTTCTCTAACTTTCGGCGAAGGGATTATGGAAGACGGGATTTCGACTTGTACTGCATATTTGAAATTAGTTGTTACACCTTTTGTCAGCCAGTTACCTACTCTATGTTTTCACAGGCAAAGAGATAAATATTAGTTAAAATAAAAAGTGTACCAACAATTAGCGAAGGAGCAGACACATGTAATTCATATTAATTCTTTCAGTTGTTTAAAGAGAGGTAGTGAAATGCTTTGCGAAATTTCCTTTTTTCTTCTAATAGAATATTATGTGACGAGTAGGTTTGGTTGTTAATAATTCGCCAAATGAATGATATATTTTGATATGGAACTATGCATGTCCTAATGTCAAAACTACAGCTACTATTACTTGGAATTGCTTATCCCTTTTATCAAACAGTTTGCTTATGATCCAAGTGTTTTTACTTAGTCTTGTTTTGTTTACTTTTGATTTTATATAATCAACGCCATAACTGTAGTGCTTTTTCATATTCACTTCAATTTTAAATGCCTGCGTTAGATATTTGCTCGCAGTCCTTTTCCAGAATAAAATTAAACTTTTTGCGAAGTTCTCTTGGTTACTAGTCGTTTTATTACAACCTGGGTAATTCCTCTGCTGCTGTTGCGACCTTTTCCCTCCCTCTGTACTCTTTCCTAACATTTCTGAACTTTTCTGTAGTTTTTTCGGAGTAAAAAAGTCTGATAATGGAAGAGTTCATCTTTCTTAAGCAAAGCAATTAGTATTTAGCTAACGATTTTGGAGACGATGTAAGAGTTTTTACAAGGTGCATGTTTCGGATTTTTTTCTTTTATTTTTTGGTATTGAATTTTTTCATTTCTCTTCATCGAACACTCATTTTTAGCAGGTAAAGTCCTCCGTGATTGGTTCTCTTTCAAGTGGGAGAACTGTCACTAGTGGCCAACAGGTAAACTTCTTTGTTGGGTAGTTCTTCGGAATTCCTGAAGCAACGCGAAGATGCCGGGTTCTCAAAGTGCAGCTGTTCTAACAGGGAATAGTAATAGTAGCTACTTCATAATGGATGGTAGTGATTCGCAGAATGCAGATATGATGGATTTCGACGACGGTTCTGGTCCAGCAGATCCACGACTCGAAAAGCAACAACAGCAGTTATTGCATGCAGATTTTTATAATGATTTTGGTGATCTGTTCGATAATGTTAAAGTTTGAAACTTGAAATCTTTGCACGAATGCAGGGAGATAACTATTTCTGGATTTTTTCTTTCTTTTATAGGCATCGTCTTTAATAGTTTTTAGAATAGTTATGTCTACTTTTCTTCTGTTTCCTGATTCAGATTAACGACCTCGATAAAGCTTCGGAAATATGACTAAGTGTGAGAAATATTTTCTAAGCTATATTATTTTGAATGACTTGTTCTCTTGGATATTTCCCGATTATTTGACAATGCGGTTTTTACGTTCTATTTGTTATTTGTCTATTAAATTTGTTTGCGTTTGACTATGTCATCATTCTTAGTAATTTCAAAAATAAATTTTCAGTTCAGTCAAGAAAAAAATTATTACCGTTAAAAAACCGCAATTTTCCTGTAGCAAAAATTGAATTACGTAATAAATTCTACAATTCATGCTGCATTGTATATTGTTAATTAATTTCTGAATGATCAGATGACTGGAGTGCAATGTCTATAAAACGGCGATGGTTTCAGCTGCTTCGCTTCTTCAGGCACTGGTTAGCTTAGTTTAATTGTTTTCTCCATTTCTTTGGTAATCTTGATAGCTTAATTAGAAACAAGTTGTTTTAGGAAAGATGTATCCAGTAGGCCAGTGATGAGAATGAATTAGAAGAGAATGTGTTCTGCTGGAGTTGTTAGATCTAGTAAAGTAGAAACTCCGGAATTAAGTTTTTGAGGATTTCGAGTTCCAAGATATCATTCTTGACTTTTTTTACTTTCAGGTCGTCTCTATCATCTCTACTTGCAGTATGCTTTCTGTTGCTTGTTTTTGCTCTTTCCTATAAATTAAATCAGTCTCAGGTGTGTTCATATTTATTTTTCATCCATTATCCTGTTGATTTAATAAATTTCACGTTAAAACACTTATTTGCGAATGAATATGATTAATTCACTTTTATTTACGTTGTTTTGGAACTGATGCCCTGTTTTCTAAAGTTTCAGGAAGTAATACGAAATCGTGAAAAGTACGACAGCAAAGGTGTATTGGATGGGAAGTAAGCTTTTTTTATGCTTATGCATATGAGAAATGCATTGTACTCATTCCCCAATTATTATAAAAATATTTTTTGGATTTAGTAGAAGAGTGGACACCAAAGAAATATTACGAATTGGTAGGAAAAGCAAAAATCAACATTTTGGTGGCGATGTTGAATTACCTGGTGATCCAGATCCGAATACAATTTTTAAATTGGATGAAATTGGGAATTTTGAACCCAAAGAGACACAGTTGCAGCCAGGGGATTATGGTATTCATTTAGTAATTTAATCAACTTATCGCTTATTTTTTCTCCGGCAAATAATGCTGCTTTGCAGAGTGAAAAATTAAAATCTGGACCATTGTCTGGATTGTTAATCTTAAGGATGGAAAAGAGTTTCTGTATTTCAGTCTAAAATTTTGCTTTCAGGAGAAATGGGTGAACCAGTTCTTATAGATAAAACTTTGACGGAGGTTAAGGAAGCGATGAGAGAATATGGTTTCAATACTTACGTGAGCGACATGATTTCTTTAAATCGAAGTATTCCTGATGTGAGAATGGATGAGTAAGTGTTATATGATCTATCGGTAGATTAAAAATAGAATATAATTGTGTGAAAGTTTCATCTTTCATTTGCAAAAATATTTGATTTTCTTTCGGTTATTGTATTTAAGTTTCATCATTTTGCGTTTTCTTCATATATATATGTTTTTTTCCAGATGCAAATATTGGCATTACCCGGAAGATTTACCCACTGCAAGTATCGTCATTGCCTTTCATAACGAAGGTTGGACACCATTACTGCGCACTGTCCATTCTGTTTTATTGCGTTCTCCACCACACTTGATCAAAGAAATCATCATGGTTGATGATTTTAGTGACAAAGGTGTTTTCTGTTTAACAATTCATTGTTAATAATATTGCGGGTTCAAAAGATTTTATTAAGGATACTGGCTTTTTAGAAGGGTTTGAAATTTGGCAATATATGCGAATAAGTTATGTTTTTAATAAGTGGTTATTATATCTAAAAATAAGTATCATAAAATTTACTGCTATATAATCACAAGATATGCTTCCATTAGCTACTGTAATTTTTTCTCTAGAATCTTTTTAAGTAATCAATAAATTCTTGCAGTTTTTATCTTCTTTCAAGCATAGATTTTTCATTTTTTTACCGTTTTTTAAGCACTCTCAAATAGTATTGCTAAATTTATATTATTAGTACTCTTTGTTGTAGATACTGCCTAACAATTTGCTATACTCCTTTATCATGAGCTTGCTTTTCGAATTTTTGTTGCTCTTATAACTTTTGATAGATTTTTTTTTAAGATAATTTTAAATATTACTCATCTCACAAGTAGTTTAGATCGTGTCAGGTCGAATGTTCTCAGTTGCGATGCCGTTTCCTGAAATTTATTATTAGGCCATGTAATTGTAGTTCCACTGAAGTCTCGAAAGACTGAGGATTTGTAGGGTAAAAATTTTCTAAACAATGATATGCTTATCTCTTCTACCAGATTTTGAGTTCGAAATCTCATCTTTTTGTTTTATTGAAATTGTGATTTGAATGTTAAACTTACCATGTTTGACGCAAATAAGAGCAATAAGATTGTAATACAAAAGAATGCTCTTTTTTCAAAACAGTGAAATCATTAGTGATTTATATAGTAGGTTTTGTTTTTTTCAGAACATCTAAAAGATCGTTTGGATGTCTATTTAAAGCAATTCGATGGAAAAGTAAAGTTGGTGCGGAATTCTGAGCGCGAAGGACTTATTCGTACGCGAAGTATAGGAGCTAAAGAAGCGGTTGGTGATGTAGTCATATTTCTGGATGCACACTGCGAGGTAAACGTTAATTGGTTACCTCCACTTCTTGCACCAATACGTCAGAACAGGTAAGCTAAATTGTAAGTAATTGAAATGTACTGACTCCCGAATATTTTGTGGCTGAATTGCCCAAGTCAGATAATCACCAATATATTGATGAAAGATGATAGAATTTATGATAATCGTTCGCTATTCTACTGTTTTTCAGTAGTCATTACACGTGCACAGTGACTTGATTTTCATTGCTTTGAACAAATAGATTCTAACAATGAATCAGTTCTTGATTGTTTTGTTCGTTTTGTTGTGTAGAATGTTAAAATTTAAGTAGTTTATTATGTTTTCTCTGGCTGCTTCCAGATCTGCTCTAGTTGGGAAATATTCAATTCTTCATTAAAGGACCCCTTTCCGTATTTAAAGCGTAGTATGCAATTTAGTTTTCAGAAAAGTTATGACAGTACCGGTTATAGATGGCATTGACAAGAACGACTGGTCTTATCGAATAGTTTATGGCTCTGCGGATAAACATTATCGGTTATTAGTTCTTTTCACATTGTATTAATTTTTATTCATAATGTTCTAGTGAAAAATTTATGCGAAAGTTCTCAATATTTAATGTAGGATCAAATACTAAGGATCTTAATGTTTTGTTTAGTTTATAAAAACTCTTCATTGCAGTGGTATTTTCGAATGGGGGCTTTTATACAAAGAAACTGAGCTATCATCGCAAGAATTACTACGAAGAAAACATAATAGTGAACCATTTAGGTCATGAATTTTCATTTTTTTTTTTTTACGAAGTTTTGCTTTGCAAGCATTAGGGTTATCAATTTTTTTCAGGTGTTCTTTATTTGTAGAATTTTCTAGGTCTCCAACTCATGCAGGTGGCTTATTTGCTATTAATAAAAAGTGGTTCGAAGAGCTAGGTTATTATGATCCTGGACTACAAATATGGGGAGGTGAACAGTATGAACTTTCGTTCAAAGTTAGTTTTTTCTACTTGTAAGAAAAATATAGTTTTTGGTATTTTTTTTTTGAATTAAAATTAAAAAATGAACACGCAAGTTTTAGGTATGAAATTTTCATTTTCTTTATCTATATCAAAACTAATAAATTTTGCAGATCTGGCAATGCGGAGGCGGAATTTTGTTTGTGCCATGTTCGCATGTTGGCCATGTGTACCGGTCACATATGCCTTATGGTTTCGGGAAGCTCTCTGGAAAACCAGTTATTTCAACTGTAATTTTTCATCGCAATTCTACTCCGAGATCTTTTGTTCTGGTATTTCTTTTCAATTTGCATTAAAAATGTTTCAGAATATGCTTCGTGTCATAAAAACATGGATGGATGAATATGACAAGTATTACTATATTCGAGAGCCGTCGGCAAGACATCGCTTGCCGGGTAACATAAGTTCACAGCTCAAGCTTAGGAAAAGCTTGAAGTGTAAATCTTTCAAATGGTAAATTTATAAGAATTTAAAAACTTAAATTTCTTTATTAGCAAAGCATGTATCAGATGATCTCCACTGAACATTTAATTTTGGATTTTTTATATTTTTGTTATAAGAAATTCTTAAAACTTAAGGTATATGGAAAAAGTTGCTTACGATGTTGTTGTATCTTATCCCTTTCCACCGGAAAATCACGTTTGGGGTGAAGCAAAAAATCACGCTACAGGTACCTCCACTGAACTGTTATTTTTCATTATTTCTATTGCTAAATATAATAGGCTACATTTGTAAATATTTTTCCACGGATTTCTAATCTTCGATTTTCAGTTATATCTCCCACATTACTTTTGTTAACATTTCTTGACTTTTATCCAGACTTGTTTTATCAGCTTAGTGATTATCGTTGCATGATAATGTAAGTTGAAAAGCACTGTCTTATTTCGGATTTTTGTTAGATCTCTGTAAAATTGCGCGAAGAACTTTTTGCTATATAAAACTTTTAGGAAAATGTATTGACACTATGGGCCGACCTGTACCGGGTATTGTTGGTGCAACTCCGTGTCATGGTTATGGTGGAAATCAGGTAAAGTGAGTTGAAGTTTCAATTTTTCTTGTTTAATATACGTTTTAATATTGGAATTGATGAGATGTTTGATTTTAAAGCGTAAAATAGCATCAGCTTAATGTTCATTCGTTTATTTACTCTAACCAATATAATCAGGAAGATTTTGTTTGAAGTTGATCAGATTGAATAGAAAAGGCCAGTTGGCACAGGGAGAATGGTGTATAACTGCCGTACATGGGAATTTAATCACGAACCATTGCATAAAAGGGACAGTTGATGGACCCTTTACTTATAATGAGGTGAGTTTCTTTCGTTTTAATGCTTACAAGTGGCAAAATAATTTCTAATACTTCCAAAATGATACAAAAATCTTGAATGTTTAGGAAAGCGAGCAAATAATTATCAGGAACTTGTGCCTAACAGCAGCTAAATCCATATCCAGTTCGGTACTATCAATGGAAAAATGTGATTCGGAAAATCAATGGCAGAAATGGAAATGGCGAGAAATATATATTGATTAATTAACTGGATAATCCACTCAAGAACTTCCTATGTTGTTGATAACCAATATATCATCTTGAATAACTTTTCACAGAATTTTTTCTGGAATTACGAATTAACCTAAAAAAGGATTTAAAAAAAAAAAGGATTTTTCTCAGTATTAATAGGGATGGGATGAATATCTTTTTCTTTTTGGTTGTTTTATGTGTGTCTGTTGGTATTTTTTTCCTTTTATCGATCAAGTTGTTGCAAAAATACAGTTTGAAAAAAAAAAAAAAAAATGAACAGCGAAAGAATGGGAGAAAATACAATACTTTCCAGTAATTTTTTTGTAAACTTTATTGGCTAGTACTATTTCGTAATGTCTTTAGCTCGTTAGCCTAGAAAGTTCAGGAAAACTGATTTCTTACTTGAAAATCGATTTGGAAGGCAACTTTTAAAAATTCCTCATTCAGTGCCTTTTCTTCTTTATATGGTTTTATTTCTAATGTTTTTGCTAGAACTGGTTATGCAGCTCAACAAAAGACTTAATATTTCTTTCCAGTTGTCAGTACTTTATGTCAAATAAATGTTATGGTTCTATGTTCTTGTTTATTTTGCTTATTTTTAGTGTCTATTATGATTATCCATTTAGAATGCAGCTCGTATGTTTCTGTTATTTTTTTCTGGTAATTTCAAAGTATAATTTAAAGCAATGAATTATTCGGTAGGTTTTGTTCGTATTTCTTTTTCCTCGAGTTGTTAAAATTTTTAGGCTGTGGATGCTAAGCATAAATTGTTATGAATTGTTGGGTTTTTTTGTGATTGTTAGTAGTTTGTAATATTTAGGTTGAGTTATATATATATATATATATACTTATAGCTTCTATCTAAGGTATGTTTGTTAGAGGAAATGCTAAAATAAGCACTCCAGACATTCACTAATTACACATTACTTATTGTGCAAACTAATTTTTTAGTTCCTGTCGCCTTTTTCACGAAACTCTTTGTCATTATGTCTAGAAAAAGCTTTTATTACTCGAATATTTGAAATCGATTAGGTTTAAAATAATGATTATTCTGTTGTTCGAAATACTTTTGTTAACCATAAATATTTTCTGCTTTCATCTGTTTGCTTTTACTGAAACAGTCTATGCAACTTATAACTTATTTTGCTTTATTATGTTTCATGATATTCTTAAACCTATTGAAGGAGCAAGAAAATCCTCAACTTCTCTGTTATTCTTCATTCCCCTATTTAAATTTGGAAAAACGAATGAAAAATTGTTCATTTTTCTTTTTTATCTTAATTCATACTCATTTTTAAGATTCTAATGTTTTGCAGGTTTTTGGTAGTATCAAAATTTGAGGTTTTCACCAAATGGAGGCTTCATTTGTGGAATCATTAAATATATTTGACTGTAAATGGATTTTCATTATCGTCGTAGTAACCGCACTTAGGTAATAATTCTCAATAAACTTATAGAATATCTTTTATAATTAATATGCTATGTCAAAAAAATATTACTTATTCTTAAAGAAGATTATACATTATGCACATGCCCTTTTTTTCGAGTGTTTCTTCTGTGAATTGTGGTTGATCGAGAATAAAGTTTGGTATATTCTGATTTTATAATTATATTCCAGTATTTGTAATATTGTATGGCTTGATTATTCTTGTTTAATTGTTTAAGGTTTTATTTCAAAGGAGCGCAGTTCAGAGAACTTAACACAGCTAAAGGCTTGATAGCAGTTATAACAGGATGTAATTCTGGTATAGGAAGAGAGATTGTACGAGAGCTAAATCTCCGTGGAGCAAAGGTGTACATGCTGTGTCGCAGTGAGGATCGAGCTCGGAATGCTGTCCTTCAACTTGTTAAGGTTGAAATTAATAAATCAGGAATTTTAATCATATAGACAAAAATTATGCATTATAGAAGTATTTGAATCTTTTTTATTGTTTGTTATTCATAAATAGTAAATCTAAAATTAGTTAACAAAACATAAGATCTTGTACAGCGTTTAGTGATGTCGTTTAGTGATGATCTAAGGTGGTGATGTTTTTAATATTTTTTTGTAATTTCTCATCAAATTTGAGCCATTTCCAAATAACTTTTACAAAATATTTAATTATTTTGATCCTTATTCTCAGCTCGGTTGTAATCCGCAGAGACTATTAGTCAAAGTAGTTGACCTTGCTCAATTCAAATCAGTCAGAATAGCAGCAGCAGAAATCATAGAAGGTTTCTATTATCTTTGCAATTTTGTAGTAGGGTTTTCTCAACTGTATGTACAATGACAGCTTTGTTTCTTTTAGGAATCTAGATGGTTTAGAATTTGGGGTTTGAAATTTGTGTTGGAATGTGCTTTTGTACCACTGAGTATGTTTTTCCAAACTCGATTATGCATCCTTCCCTTTAATTCATTAGTTCGTATAGAAGAATTTTGTAAGATTAATAAGATTATTATATTTGTATTGCAGAAGAAGATCACTTGGATATTCTAATTAATAATGCGGGTATTATGCTGTATCCAAAGTTTAAACTGACCGATGATGGTCACGAACTAGTCTGGCAAACGAACTATCTCGGTTAATATTAAAAGGATGATAAAATTTTCTCTTAAATGTTAAATTACATAAAGATAAAAAATTCTTTTCTATAACTATTAAAATTCTAAAATAGAACCATGTCTGATTTCTCTTTAAATATTAATTTTCCAGTCTAATTAAAAAATTCAATTATTTAGGAAAAAAAGGCAAAGAGAACAAATTCTCAACAAATTTATTTGGTCAGATTAATTTATAAAAAATGAGTGAAAATATTGTTTAACGAAAAAATTTCTTATTGTTCCATTGTCTTAACATGGTTCTCTTTGTCTGTTGGTTTTTATTTACCGTATCAGAATCAGTTTCATCCTTAAAAAGGTATTGATATTACGGCATATGATATCTTTCCATTCTAACCTAAATCTTTTTGGCATTTCTGCTATTCATCTGGTAAAAATATCTCCCAGTTGCTTCAACAGTTACCTCTGTTTTACCTTCAACACGTCGGGCACCAAAATTGTACGTTCTGTACTTTCAGAACAGTTTAGGTTGTAGATCATATCTTCAGACGACGTAGATAGAAATTCATAAATATATTGGTATTAATAAGCGTTAATTTTGATGTTAATTTTGATATTTTACCTTGTTGAAAGGCATTGTAACGGAGCGGAAATTTTTCAGGACATTTTTTACTCACTGAATTACTTCTACCTCTTCTTCGAGCTGCTCCAAGCGCGCGCATTGTCAATGTTTCTGCATTAGCCCATTTCTATGCCGATCCTATAGATTTGCAGTTGATTGATCGTAGAGAAGGTTGGGATTCGAGACAGTCATATTCGAAGTCGAAACTTGCTATGGTATTTTCATAATTTTTCTTTGTTATTTTACGCTTTAATAAGTTGCTTTATGGAAAACAGTTGTAATTTACTTACATAATTTTTCAAGGTAATGCATGCATTTGAATTGACTAGAAGATTACGAGCATGTGAAGGATCACATGTAACAATAAATGTATGTCATCCTGGACTATGCAATACACGATTGATGCGCTATACTCCACTGGCACAGAAGCCGCTGAGCTATCTCATCGCACCATTCAGGTTCTTCATTTTATGCAATTATTTTAAAGTGTCTGAAATTTCAAGTACCTCATATGAGAAAATTTAGGGGTCTCATCCAATTACCACAACTTCATAATAAAATATACTATTTCAACCGCTCGCTTTTTGTTTTTACACCATTCTAGATATGGCTGAAAGCATAAATACTATAACAATCTAGTTTAAAGCTTTTGGGAATATGTAATTCGCACATTTATTATTTCCTTAAATGATCTTTCTACAAATATATAGAATCGATCAGACATTAACAAGGAACTATTTTTCATGTCGAGAAATTGGACTGTTTTAATTGAGTTACTTTTTATTTCTTCCAGATGGTATTTGCTGAAGACTCCGAAGGACGGAGCTCAAACCCCGCTTTTCTTGGCTTTGTCGAAAGCTGTAACCGGTTCCTCAGGACTTTATTACAGGTATCAGAAACATTAGCTTTATTGAAAATTTTTGGTTCGAGCTCTTGTTTATATATTTTCTAATACTTTTAGAATTAAAAAGATATTTTCAGTGCACTAACAGTGATATTTCTGATCATTTAAGTGCCATCAGTTTCGTCAAAGGATAGTTATCGTTTGAAATATTACCTAATCCTGAGATATTAAGCTTTATTTTACACTTTTTAGTCTGTTTTGGTAGAAATTTCAGTGCTTAAAAACTATTTCAGACCTTATCCATTCCTGTGGGAATGGTAACAGGAGCAAACTCCAATTTTTGTAATTAAGTGTGTATCAAAACAGTTTATTGAAATGATGGGTTTTTTTTAGTGAGTGTGTATCAAAACAGTTTATTGAAATGATGGATTGGGAAAAGAAATGTGCCAAGTTGTATGATTATTCTCTGCATGCTACAGGTTTTGATGTAAAAGAGTTGTAAACGATTGAAAATTAGTGACTATGAATTTGATTCTTATCCATGACACATGACACATCGGGTGATATTCAAATGTTATAGGCTCTTGTGTTTTGTAGTTTTGCAGTGGTTGTCATACCGAGAATTAAAAAGATCAGATGCTACAGAAAGTTTGTATTTAATTTTAGAATTAATTTAATCCCATAAATTTTTTACACTGCTTACGTACATTTATGATCATTGCTGCTTGTATGCTTTATGCTTTTATATTTTGCGGATAACTTATCAAAAGTGTTACTACTTCTCTAAACAATATTTTTTGATAAATGCAACTCTATTACGTTTACACATTAAAAGCGTGCAATTTATAGCTGGGATTTTGCAGAAAAATTCTTTGTATTTATTAATATTTTTCAAGTTTGATATTTTAGGTACAGATTTTTCTTATATTCGAAAAGTTCTCAGCAATTTCATTAATAATGTATTCTTCATCTTTATATGTATATATATATATATATATATATATATATGCATTTTGCCAAAGGTTTACTGTTTTGTTAGTTTCTTTCTTTGTTTACTAATAGGTACATTATTTCAACTAGTATCGAAATTGTTAAAGGTGTTGTTAAAATAAAACTAGTAGCATGAACAACTTTTCAAGATTATACAGATATGTGAGGATGGGTTGTGTACAGGTGACTACCTATTCGGGATAGACTAATTTTTAATATGTTAATTTCTTTGCCGACATTTCTGGATAATTTGTCTTTATGCCAGGATTGGCTCTAATTTGATTTCTTTTTTTTTTTTTTTAAAGCATTGGCACGTTTTTCTTCTAGGAACGTATTATTTGATTTAAACCTTTCTGAGTCATCCTTTTAACAGTTAAATTTTGCAAATGCTCTTATAAGATGGTGGTCAGTTTGTTCTGCTAAAATTAACTGCAACAGAGCCAAAAAGGAGGCAGTTCAAAAGTAACACGTGTAATCTTTCATTAAGTTTGTAATTTTTCGATTCATTTAATTAGTATTTCAAATTACACTTACTACCTCTGCGTTTCTCGTGCCCGTGTAAATGTACGCGCAATAGAATGTTGGCATCTCTGCCTGGTATCGTGTTTGTAATCAATTTTGAAATTTAATTAAAGAAAACCAATAAGACTTATTCTACAAACATCTTCATCTGAACGTTTTATCTTTTGACGGGATCTTTATCTTATCTACATTTAATTATTGAACTTTATGCCATCTTTCTAATATTTCCATCAACCGCACTTCACAACCAGAACTGGTTCGCTATCAGAATGGGTATAAGAAATCAGATATTTCTAATGAGAATATTAAATCTTACCAATATCAATTTGGAACTTGCCTATGTTCTTACCCCGTCAAAATATTTAACATTTCTAAATGGTAGAATCTAAGCATTGTCACATTCTAGCGAATAAGGAAGCATTATGTATTAGCACCATGATATGACATAAAAGCATGATATGTGTGAATTAGTCATATAGCTGCACTTTCCATGTGATGATATATCCTGACTGTTTCGGAATTCAGTGTGATGTTTGGTGTCTGCAGTCCCTTTTGTTCATTTGTTCAGATTTGAGCGCGGAATTTTATTCTTACGTTTGCATCAGATCAATGTCAGCTTTGAAGACCTATAGTTCTATGAAATTTAAAAACTGCGGATTTCTGGATAGATGCTTTTGTTTCTGAATTTGTCGAAACTTTTCTGTTGTAAAGTGTTATCTCTCATAAAGTCGAAGAAATAATTATTTCATGGACGATAATGAGTCGTTTATCGATATATCCTAAGATGATTAAAAACAAACTATCACCTTAGCTTTTCAAACTTTTGAAGCAATAAAGGTCAACGGATGTCTTCAATTTCACTAAAACACATAACCATTATCTACTCCTGAATAAACAAATGAAGTGTAAAGAAGCAGGTTTAGCTAAAAATTATGTCTCAATAAACACTACCTCTGTTAGCAATGAATTTTATACATAATCAAATTTTTTGGGAAACAGACGTTCCATTCTGTTTTTAATAGACTGATAATATACTTTAATAGAGGATTTTGTTTTTAAACATTTCATCATATACTTTATGCCATTTGCTGAACCCAACTGCTCCCGGATAATAATACACTTCAATAATCTGAAATATTCTTACAGTTAGTATTTACTTGTTCCATTCATCAGTGACTAGCAACTAATGAAACTGATTTCAAATCTGTCCTCAAATCGATTTAACATCCATGCAATATTTTAATGCATGCATTATTTTTATATTAATTATTCTCTCTTATGCCATAGTATTTTTTCCTCTTTTTAGAACAGATGAATAGTTTTTGCTTGTTTGCTTTACAAAAGCATATTTGAGTTAGTTGTGTGACATCGATTATTGGAAATAAATGTGGATATATTTTAAGCACTCTGTTCGTTTATGGTAAAACTAGTGAACCTTAATTTGCACAGATTTGAAGGAAGACAGAAACACGCGTTAAAATGTAAGGTACAAACCCAGTGTTTATGAGAATCGCGGGAAATAATTTTCCTTGGGGATTTTGAATAACGGTTTCCTGGGAATTCGACAAATAATGTCCAGAAGCCTTTCCGCTTAGCCTGTAAATTTATATTCGAAATATTATCAGTAGAATTTAAGACGAATGATTAGTGTGCATGCCATTTCTGAAATTGATTATTTTGAGGCGGAGAAGGAAAGAAAGAGAGGAATGTTTAGGGATTTTCTGTATGTTTGCAAAGTGCATTTCGCTGAAGAAATAATAACACGAAAAGTTTAACTATGCGATGATTCATTGAGGACATCTGTCAGTTTTCTAGAATAATATTTAACTGCACAAGCATTCATGAAATGTAACTTAGCATAACTTCATTAAATCGATATCATTTGACCGCTTACCTCATAGGTTTTCGTAAAGATATCGCCAGGTGCGACATAGAAATCAGCGGTATTTCCAACTCCAATAAGGCGGAAAAATTTAGCTTCCGTAACATCATGGTTACGAACAGAAAGAGTTAAATTAAAACGTTTTTGATAATAACGTTTGTACCTCTTCGAAGCACACAAAGAATTACAGAGCATGAGGTGGAGAATGAACAAAAGCCTTAAAGTTCGCAGAAATGCTGCGTACATATGCCACATTGATCAGTATTGCCTTCGACAGAGCTGCTTCTGCAATATCAGTTTCTGTTTGATGAAGAAAAGCATAAATAAAAAATGCAAAGAAGGTATAATTTGTGTGATTTATTGATTTATTGACAACAAGTCTAATTTTACTTTTTCAAATTCTTGGGTAATTTGATATTTAGCTAAGATAAGTGAAGAAAGGCAATCAAGAATTGCCCAATTGCCTTTCTTTTGACTGTCTCTCTACTTATTTCAAGAAAGATTTGTCATAATTCATTGCTAAAAGCTTGATTGTTACATTAGAATTATTATAACTAATGTAAATAACAGTGTGATCGAGAAGAAAATTTCTCTAAGCCGGAACCAGAAAACAATAAGCAATGTAAAAAACCAAAAGCAAATAAGAGTGATAGTAGAAGTTGGACTCAGTTAAAATGATATCAGTTAGAAGTTGGACTCAGTTAAAATGATATCAGTTAAGTTAATCAATAAATTTCTGAAATTCATAAACAAAAACAGACTCGTTTCAAAATTTCTCAAAGCCTTAAAATTTTTGTGAATAACGATTAATTTAAGTAAATCGGTTCTTTTAAATATTTCTCAGTTTTTAGGCTTGCAAAAGAATTTTAGCTCTTTCACTTGTTTTGTTTCAAAAACGTGGTGTGTATTAATAAGGATGAATCGCTCCGCTATCTCTGTCTGTCATGCCATTAAGACTCCTAGGTCCAGAGATTCCAGTTTTTTATTTGGGGTTTATTTAAAATAGCAGAAACAGTGTCAATACCTCTTATTTTAAAGACATATTATTCATCCTAAAATCTTGATTAGATATATTTTATGACCTTTAATTTTAAATGAGAAAGCAATGTATAGATTTTTGACTAAAATTTTTTATTTTTTGTTGTTAAGCTAAAAATAAGTTTTGAACTCAAGCAAAAAACCAAGTTTCCTCAAAAAATTAGAAAATATTGCAACTTTTTCGCATTTTATGAAGATCATTAATCTAATTTCTCAAATATTTGGAAAACTACCGAAAAATCTTTTTTAGATACAAAATAAATGGAACTTCCTGAGAAAAAAAGTGAATAAAATGAGTGAAAGCACTCCTGTTTCGAAAGTCTAGCTTCCTAATATCCCATATCAATGAAAAAAAAATTTAGTAAGTCGGCAGTGAAAACTCAAAGCAATAATAAAACCCAGAAATAGGTTTCAAATAATAGCAAAATAAAAAAAAAAAGTGCATGCAAAAGAAATCCAAGTTAAAAACAACTGGTAAAGTAAAATGATTTAGAGCTATTTGAAATTTTTTAAATTGAAGCTATCGATTATATTTGTGGAAAATATAACCTTACCTTTCTTAATTGTTGCTTAATTTTGAGTTTTTATGAATCCATGAGTTATAATGAAGTGATAGAAGTAACTGTTGATTTATAAGGATTGTTTAAGCATCCATGCGATAGGCTAAGTTTTACTTGACGCGCGTTCAAGCATTCCGGAACTAATCATCATCGAGCCAACATCTGCTCTCTCAGCATGCTTGTATAGTTGTAGCGTCAAATTTTCAGGTGAATAGCGTAAAGGCGGTAATGAATCGACCAATAAGCAATTAATAGCAAAGTTACCAAATATACAGAGGAAAGTTTGAAAAAATGCTTGAAGACTTGCACAAATAACTGAAAAATGAAACAGTGAATAATTATCTTAATTTAACTGAACAATATCATTTCTATATGAAGAAAGAACTCATATGTGTCATCATCATTTGTGATTCTTCTCGACTATTATATTAAAAATAGCAACATAGTTTTGGAGAAATATGAAATCGGTCTGAATCACTCAAAGAGAAAACTATTACTAATTTCGGGAAGTTAAGGTTCTCCAAATTTGCTTAGAATGATCATATATATGCTTATGTAATAATATGTAGCTTACGAAACATTTTTGAATTAAATAATCTTAGGCTGAAATGAATTATGACAGTCGTAGACCAAAGAGGATAATAGATATATTAATAAATTCGGTCTCAAATATGATCAGTAATGTCAAAAAACCAAAAGTGGCTATCCTCTTTCATTTACCTAAAATATACTTGTCTCCACTACCTTGCTTTCAACAAACTTCCTTTTTTCGAAAGATCAAGAAGACGAAAAGTAATAACGAATGATTATATCAACTCCCTACTTATTTTTAAATTTAAATCTATTTTTACGCAACCTTTTGAATGTATTGTTGGCAGCAAATAACTATAATCTATAACACATTCTAACCCCATAACACTGCGCTGTCGATTCAATACTGCCTCTTTCTCCTTCTTTAACTTATTTTCATTTTATTCTATCGTTTCAAGCTTTGCCTTTCACTTCCACATTTGCTGCTTTATATCCCACATCTCTTTGATGAGACTATTTGAATTTGTTGTGTCAACGAAAGCAATTTCTCTGATAACAAAAAGTCACCCTTGAAAGAGAACATTAATACACCCAACCATCAAATGATGTCTTCGAAACATACATGCACAAGCATGCATGCATACAAAAAAATAATTTAAGGGAGCATGATACTAAGAGTAACATAATATATCAGTTTTAAACATTTATTCTGAGGAAATGGAGCGATATGTGATATAGGTTAATTGAGCACTTTTCAAATTTAATTAAAGAATACATTCTTCTTGTACCATTTCAGCCAAAATTCAGTTACAACTAAAGAGGAGAGAAAGGAATAGAACAGCTAAGACGATGATGAATGAATCAGTGAAATTAACCAATGATTTCCAGCCCTCTCAATTAAGATAAGTAGAAATATTGCTTATCTGTTGTTCATGAGTTATGTGATTCTAATGTATACAAGAAAGACTCTAACTGGTTTTTCCGTCTCCTCAAAATCCTTTGAATTTGCAGCTGTAATTATAAAAATTTTTGGAATAAAAAAATCACTAGAAAATAATTTCCTTTTCTCTAACATGAATCGTCTTTTGATTTATTAGAATTTTATTTTATTTTTATGGAATTTACTTCTTACAAATTATTGAAATTTTTCTCTTTATTTTTTTAATTTATTTATATCTTTTATCACTAAGACAAAAGAGGTACGAGAAATAGCAGCAGCGAAATGGGAATTCAGAGAAAAATATGAGTTGAACAAACAAATTTAGTTATACTCCTCTGTTCTACGTTTTACCTCATTGAAGGTTTTGATTTTAACTCACTTTCTGAAATCATGAGAAGCTAACAAATTTTGAACGTATTTCTGAAACTGAGAGAAAATGTTCGATAGCTAAAGCAATTTTCAAAACGTATATCAAGATTTCTAAGCATTTGAATACGATAAGATATACTCACTGTATCTTTTAAGCATTTTTAAATTACTAAATTTAAGTAATTTAGAGGTCGCTATTTAGTAAATTTCAATAATTTAGGGGATATATGCATAAAGAATGATTGCTTTACACTCGAAATATCGAGACCAATTATGAAATTCTAAAAATTATATATACCACTGAAATGAAAGTCGATCAAGAGTCTAGGAAAAAACTTCACTTCTAAAAAAGTAAAATAAATGTATTTTACTAAATGTATAAATGTATTTTGCCCTTACAATGGTAAGGGCATTATGGTAATGAGCAAATCTAATTTGAATTCATAGTTTGCTACTTTTCGGTACGTATTAATGACTGCATGAAGCTTTTACACATCCATAATGAAATGGATGAAAAATGACTACCCTACTATGACTGGCTGTACTAATTTGCTAATAAATAATAAGTTTATAATTGGTAGGAAATTATGTTTAATTACTAATTACTTCAGAAAAGAGCTGAAAATGCTGTTTTGAGAAATCATTAACAGTTACCTTTGATTGTTTACCATTAAGTAATCTCTTGATTGTTTGCCAATAAGTAAGAAATTTATAATTGATACGGAATTATGGTTTAAAGTATTATATCAATTTAGATGATAATTTCTCTTAAAAACATAGAAAGCACGCAAATTATATGAAAAATGCTATCACTATAATCTTTCAGAAAAGGAATTCGATCATTTCCCATCCATTACTTTATAATATTCTCTTTCCAATAAAAAGAAAAAAAATATGTTTGGAAAATAAAGGTTAAACATTACATCTATCTTCACAGCATTTGTAATATCCATGGTGGAATTTTGTATTTCTTCAATATATGTACACATAAAGCATTCTTCCATAAAGCATTTATTTACTAAATAACCACTCGACAGCTAACTCATCACATAGTTAAATAGTCAAATGGTATGAATCAACTTTTAATTGTTTACTTTTTCGACTTCTACATAATTTTTTTTTTTTTTAAATTATATGTAAGTAGTGTAAAAGACTTTTTTGTAATATCATTAAACGATATATTCAATATTAATAAGTTCAATTCTTAAATAAATCTATTTAAGATAATAGCTAATAGACTGAAGGAATTGTCGCTCGTTGATGTTGACATATCAATTAGGTTCACTTTGGTGGCATAGATGCAGTAAATTAACAAAATAATGTGAGAAGTGCAAACCGGCTGCAACAGATATCAATAACATTTCGCCATGTGTTTTCCCCGCAAACTGAATCAGTTATAATCGTATGGGTTCGATAGATGATAAATTTCATTTCCTGTTTGTATCGAAAATTTTGCAAAAATTTGAGTCAGTGAAATTAGTCACAGTTGACAGTATGAACGCTAATTATAAAACTTACTGAATAGTAAAGAGAAAAAATGCACAAGAAACTCGTTGCGAACTAGAATAAATTTATAAAAATGGCATTACTTCCATAAACTAATGTAAGCAATGTCAAAAGTAATATTAAGGAAGCGATCATATAGCTCAGAATTTGTAGTTCTGCAGTAATAGTGTTGATGAGTTAATTTCATGCAAGTCAGGCGCTATCTTTTGTTGAAGAGCTCATAGCAGAGGATAAAAAAGCAAATGAAACATCAAATTCAGTTATTCTTTATCAAATGGCATAAGAGTTTGCTCTAATAATCATTTAAGATTTCATATGTTGGAAATTAAGTTGGGTGCAAATAAAATTTGCTTCTGATTATCAATTTTTTCGGTAGATACATTGGAAGTAAATGATAAAGTGTTCGATGAAATTAGAGAAATAATAGATAACAATCAGAAGCATTTGAAGTGATATCACAAACATATTGATTTGTTTTTCGTCTCCCAACATGTTTTGACTTGATATTTACGGACGAGAAAATATGAAAACACGCAGTTGTAAGATTGCTGTTGGCGTTTGTGCCGTTCGAAGATATTTTACGTATTAGTAGATCAACACTGAGGTTGTAGTAATGCACTTCCTTTTGAAGTTTTATGAGTTCAATTTTCCTAATCTCTTAATTGTATCGAAATAGTGCAACAAGTAAAAAAGTTGTTATAACTAGTTGCTACGTGATCAATTCCAGTATTGTTCTGTTTCTATGATTAGCATAAGGACTAGAAGGGTAAAGTGAGTCAAGAGATCTGTTTATCAATCCAGATAACAACAATTACATGCCATCATCATTATCTATCACTTTATTCTTTCCTTTGTTCATATTTCTGTATTAGCAATAAAAACATGCAAACATACAATTTAGCAAAGAAATGGAAAACAGAAATTAAGTGCATACGATATTTTCATATTATATCAGTAAGCTATTCAAATATTGACTGGGAAAGACAAGTATATCTCATTTCTTTATTTAATTTGCTTTGACAACCATTGCGTTCCACGGTTTTTACTATAAATAGCTTTCTTTTCAAATGCCTTTCCGAGATGTCAAATTTTCAGTCAAATTTTCCAGCAATATAAAGCAGTCTGATGATATATAGAAACATGCAAGCAGGCCTTGTACATAATAATCTCTTAGCACCATCCAGGTATGCTCTTGATTATTCACTCTCAAATTTCATGAAGAAGATACAACAAATTAAAAGGGATGGAAATTTCAATCGTTAAAACAAATATGGCACATAGAGAAGCATAACTGAGACTTGTTTTGCCACGCTGTTATCAAATGGGGTGCTATTCGTGTCCTTTAATGACATAAAAAGAGACAAGTAGCAAATTCTTTGCAATAAGAAGTAAAGACCTATGAATAACAGTAAGCATAATTTTTGTTGCATTAAAAGAAAATTGTTGCTGAAATGGAATAGAGAGCAATATATTTAGGCATACAAGATCATTCTGTTAATAGGCATCTTTTAGTCAGAAGTAGCACACATTTGCAGCTCCTTGCTAGCGGTTCCTTACACAAGGAAAGTTATAGAAAACACGAGGTGAGCATAAACTTTGGTACATGAAATTTTGAAAGAAAGGTGTCACTACCTTAACTTATAATAACTGGCATTCATTTTAATGTGCTGAACTCTCCTTCTGCTCCTTTTTTATTATTAGTATTACTAACATAATGCGCAATTAACATGCAGAAATGGTTCGGTAAACTTACTACACATCTGCATATAATCACATTATTCGTTTTAAAATTAAGTTTAATAAAGTCTAAGAAATGTGGAACGATGAGATTTGATGAATATATTTCACTTTAAAATTTAAAATCTAATCTACGTCTAATCGAAAGGTAAGAAAATTAATTTAAAAAATGCTTAATGTTCAATGCTTTCATTTGCTTATTTGATTGATGGATTACTTAATACACATACTTCTAGGGTTTTTTCTGACATATAGACCTGACAGAAGAAGAATTTTATTGAACAAATTTATCATTCCTTTAATTTTGAAGATTTTTTTCTATGATCTAATCATACTCCAGATAAAACAGAATTCAGTGATTAGACAAATGACGAAAAAGTGCAAAAAAAAGGTCGATCAATAATAAGGTGGGAAAACGAAAGTTGTTTATTTTCCTGCATAGAATGCGAAGAAGCTTGTAAAGAATTTAATAAATACGCGCAAAAAGCAAATATGACATTACGAAACAAGTACTTCGGCATTAAATATGAGAGACAGATCGATGATAATGTGCAAGGAATTAGTTTAAGAAGATGAAGTTAATTACTGTGATTCAATTCGATAATGTAACAAAATTGAAGCTGCAAACTTGCAACGAAACACAATTTCGGCATGTCCGGATATTTCCAAAAAGCACTTAGAGACAACAACAAAAAGGAAGTGAAGCGAAATATATTCGGAATTTGCTTAAAAGAAGAAACATTTCCAAGCATTTCACAAAAAAAAAAAAAATAATAAATGACGTTTTGAGAGATTTCTCTGCTCTCGTTTGATTCAATGAGTACTTCAGTAAAATTCACTGATGTGTCCAGATCTTAGAATTGAAGATAACAAGTGATAAAGGAATAAAGAAATAATGAAAAATACATAAAAGCGTTTCATGAGGAAATTTTTTATAACTCGAATCGATTAATATTCCATTGGCATCTAAAACATTCAAAATATTAATGAAATTATCTGTGCAACTTAAAATCCTGTAATAACTAATGATTATCTCTAATTCTGTACGCACACCTATAAACTCATCTTTAATTCATCTTCAATTTCAATCAAAGTTTTAATTAAAACTCATACTCTACTGCATTGTAAGAACTTTATCTAAGGTAGCATCAGCTTTATTGCTATAACTATTTATTGTCCACAATGGTAAATCTGATAAGTCATATAGTACTGCATAGATTTCATTTATGTAAAATAATTATTAAACTCCAAAAAACTTATGGGTAAAATGTTTTTTCGAGATGAACAAAATATTATCTTTAAGCTTCTGTGATTGAATCAAAGTTAATATTTCATGTGGGCATGTCAATTCTTATTAAAAAAGTTCAACCTTGAGGTAAATAATATCCAAAAGATATGCATTACAGTGCATAAGACTTGTGAAAATGAAACGAACATAAATTCCAATTCATTTTATCATCATTTTTTCTGTTCATCAGTACCTTTTCATTCCTTGTAATTACCTATAAGCAAATTAGTCAATTAACAATAACGATATACATGAACTTCTGAAAATAACTCACAATTATTCATATAAACTCTACCTTACGTGGAAAAATGTACTTTAATGATATTGGACTATAATCTGAAAACACAGAAATTCAAATAAACAATGTTTTATTTTTCAGAAATAAGGTATAGAATTTTTTTTTAAATTTTTCATATCACCTTGGTACTGTTTCAGCATTACATTGGCCTCACAACCAGATTCCTTCACCTTACATCAAAAATATTCTACGATGAGATTATATTGGAAATGTCTGGTTGTAAAAGTTAAAATGTGTATATTTGATAAAAATAAATGAATAAAAAAAAAGAGAACATAAGAAAAACATTTTAAATAAGGCAGTAAAATTTACTTCTGTTTTATTTTTGCTACCACTTGGTACCATTTGTTACCACTTGGTGCCATTTGCTACCGCTCGGCATTGCTTATTACCATTTAGTATCATTTGCTACTATCTGTTCATGCATTATTGTTTAAAAAGTTAAATGGACAAAAAAATTATTTTACAATTATTTTGATTGATAATTGAATAGAAAATCACTTTACTGCCACGATTTTATCAATTACATTTTTCAATTTTAAGTTGATTAATTTCGTTTAAATGACCTTAGCGCATAGTTATCTAATAACTTCATTAATAAAATTGTTGTAGTTCTTATAGTTCTTTTTTTGTTGGAATTTCGAATTTAAACATTCAAAATTCTCAATAACAAAAAAAAAAAAACAGCAATCTTACAGTAAAAATTAACTTTACCTTACCCATAACTATTGCTGATAAACTTCCTCTAAAGATGATAATAGTTGGATAAACATTAGATGATAATATGTTTACCTGAATTCTTTATACTTTATCACCACCTGCTACAATTCGGGACTGCTTGCTACCGCTCGGTATCACTTGATATTTTATGAGAATTTTTCTTTCATGAAGTAAGAACTTTCCAGACGGTACCAATCAAAGACAAATTATATCTCTCTATTAAATGTGCTAGTAACCGTTCATTAATACAAATTATTTGCAAAAAAAGGAAAATGTCAATAAGGAAATAACAAACTATTGAAGTGGACTAGTATGCGATGATCAGATTGTAACAAATAACCAGTAGAAATGAAAAAAAAAATTTTTTTGATATCATACCTGTTCTCACAGAAATGCGAAGCTCCAAATTACGTTTTAAGACAAAAAATTGGAAAATGAAGTGGACGATCTTCATTCTGATTATTTATAATATGTTTATAACGTGATTATTACATATTTATAAATAATGTATTTATAATGTAATTTATTCAAATACTATCGATGGATAATCACATTGCAACACCAATCACATTATGCACACGCGTAATAATTCACTTGCGTAAGTAATCTGTGCAGAATACATCTTTCTGCATTGTATTAATTTGTATATTTCTAGTCAGTTTGATGGCCTTCCAAGAAATACGCATCATAAAACTCATTGAATTTAAGCTAAAAATCCATGGTTAATAGACGATTACTTTATGTTCTTCATTACTTTTCAGTTCGCGATCTTTATGAGAAATCACAGATCATAGCTGTTCACCTCTTAGCATGTTTCAGCAGATAAAACAAAGTAATTGAAGGAACAAGCACTGATCCTACCATTTAAAGAAATTATTGTCAACTCCGAATTCTGCGAAGTCACTTTTTCTTAATGAAAAGGATTGAGGACTGCACACGCTGTCACCTTCTCAACGTACTTTGTAAAGACAGAAATTCTTCTCATCTACTTGTACTTACTCCAAGTTCTTACCATACATAGACTTCCTAAAACTGTAATTACTCATGCACAACACTCCATGTTCTTCCGGAAACTATAAAATTATGGATCATTCATTTCTTCATTGGTCTCATCTTTGAATTATCCTACTCCATTCTTATGAAATCCAACGTTGATTTCTCAATTTATATTTTTATACCAAATTTATAAAATTCCCTCTCACGGTAGAAACATAATATATGGAACGAATTCCATGATTTCCCTTTGGACAGACATTTTAAAAAGCAAACTTCGCTGTGCACTTTCTACGAATGCGGCATCAATAATTTCTATATATTCAGAATGATAACAAATAAAGCAGATATGCAAATAAGTCCGTTAAAAATATGCAGCAATGTTTGCGTGATATACATGTTCGAAATAAATTATGAAGCATATTACAAAGCTTATCGACGCTAAAAGAAGTCTAAATATTGCAAAGTTATGAAATCTTTGACTTCAACGAAGTTTCCAAGTGCTGCACAACAATCTTTAAATTTCAGAAGTTAAACTTATGATTAAGCAAAAGCACATCCTCGAAGACAAATAGCAAGGACAATAACAACATCTTGTCAATGAAATAAATAGAGAAAAGAACTTCTGTTATGATCAGCTCATAAATCTTGGCTAAAATGAACAGATTGATTTTGAGTTATCCATGAAAGAAAACAAGTCCAGTTCCAAAACTAAAGGAAAGCATTTTTGAAGTTACCGCAACTATTGGAAATTTCATGTTGGCGAAAAAAGTGAATCGACATTTTTATTTACCATACATACATACAAACATCATATTCTGATGTTTTGACTGTGTGCAGGGGATTAAAGCTTTCTAATACTCTAACTTTCTGGGAACTGTACTTTTTTACTCTACGGGGACTCTCTGTTTCAAACTTTTCAATATTTTCTCACGTACTTCGTATGTACCAAGTGTCGCGTTAGAGCTATTGAAATTTGAAAATATTGTCTTTGGGACGAATGGGACATCAGGAATTTTTGAACCAGCCATTTCGTTTTTCTCTTCGCAAAGAAATACAGTACCATTGCTTTCTGAAAATACAAAATTAATCATATATACTGTATAGAACATGAGTTAATTGTAAGAAAAAAAATCCACTGGTAAAAAGTTTTATTCAGAAAGAATAAAAAGAACTCACTTTTGCTTGAATCTGAATCGTTTGTTTGCTTTGAAACGTTCCTATTATCCGCTAATGAACTTGACGATAGTAAAGTATCATCGATAGGTGATGCAGTTAGCAGCAAAATTGAATGACGAAATATTTGGGAATGAAAAAAATGACGCTAAACGCAAAGTGGAAACAGATTAGTTACGATTCTTTCCAAATTGATAAAAAAATTTATTAAACATAATAATTTTATTTTACCTCGTATTTTGTTTTTGTGAGTTCAACTTCAGCTGTCGGAGATCTAGCAAAGAACTCGAAAGAAATGTCTAATGAACTTTCCATTTCTTCTACATCAGACTGACTCCTTGAAACAGTTAACCAACTGAAAAATCGGGTTATTATTGGATCAAATGTTTTAGGACATTTTGCTTCCATCCAACATTTAAACTGACATATCATGTGCATAAAATTAGCATTTAAAATTTTTAATTGATCTTGAGACTAACGTCACTTTTTATCCCAGCTTTCTCTTACACGATTCTCTTTCTATATAGGTCAATGGAAAAAAGAACGAAGCATAAATTTTGGGACTTTTTCTTTTCGACGAAATCTGTAGAGAAATTCCTAACCTCTTCTGTCGGCGTTGACAAGGCGACAATAATGCTCGGTCTGTGCCACCTCGGCTTCGATCACGAATCATATTCACGAGTGGCGGACGCGAAGAACGAGAACTGAAAAAAAAAAAAAAAAAGAACACTTTTGTGAAAAATAAAAAGTGGAAGAGAGTCAGGATGTGTGGGATGAATTCAAAACACACAGAATAAAAAACCAAATAAATCAGAAAAGTCAAAAAAGAATATCAAAATAGTCATAATCATTAAAACACAGCATTCTGCTGAAATCGATAGTTTTCGCACAAGATATGAATGTAGAAAAATGGTTAATAATCTTGAAAACAATACTTAATATATGAATTATTTTTCGTCGGAAAACAAATTTCCAGTATTTCAATTTTTTTATAAGACGCACTTATCACCAGCTGATTTCCTCACTAGTTTTCTTTGCTCTTTGGTGTTTTTTAGACTTTTTTTAACTGCTGCAATTTTCATTTGCTCTTCTCGTTTCTTTTGGTCTTGTATTAAACGACGATTTTGTTCTTCCTGAAAATTGGTGGAATGATTTAATGAGGTAAAAGAATCTTCGTTTAGAAGTGGAGCATTTACAAATATCAAATATGCAAAAGGCAGCACATTAATTTCCATCATTAACTTAGGAATGTACAAATGGAAGTTTTTTCTTTTCATTTTAAATTTAGCTCTCTATATATTTACTTTTTCGATAGCTTCAATCCTCTGTTGGCTATCTGGTTCAATAGTATTGATCTGTTGACAGATGCTTTCCATTGGAGCTGGGTCTGGCTTGTGACATCGCTTGTGATCGATGACAGATGTTACAGCAGCTAAGCAAATAGCGTACGGTTCAAGCTGCTTAGCTGCGCTGACAATATGGCGTGCCTTATCACGTAGTGTTATTATTTCCTCAATCTACAAATAATAGAAATATTTATAAAACAAATCAAATAATGTGCTGCTACAAAAACAGAAAATGTGCAAATCCATTACGTGAATATGACACATGTAGTGCATCTATTAGTAACAAGCTAAGCTTAAAAATAGATTAATAGAAACAGATTCACTTTAAATTGTTAAATGAATAAAAAGTGGTCGACTGGAACTTCGACCACTGTTACTCTGGAACATCGGGATTACATCAAATACTGAAGTTTATTATCCAAAATAACTAATTGGTGATCAAGAATATCATACTTTTTCTCTGAACAGAACTTGCTGTCTCCGGACTCTATCTAACTCTTCTTGCCATATCTGTTGTAATTGAGGTTGCAGATCATTGACAAATGAGGAATGCTGACTCACTCTCATATCCAAATCTTTGCATCTAAGATAGTTGAAAATATAACTACAGATTTCATAATATAAGAGAAATCAAAAAAAGAAATAAAACTTGCAATCATAAGAAAAGGTCAGATCCATGCCACAAAATGCAAGCCTGCACTATGATTATACATTGAAGTGTTGGGTCAACAAGCTGAACTAAGATGTACTACTGTAAATATCCTTTTTCTTGGCAATAAATAATTATTTTAAAACTTTAGAATGACTTACTTACGGATGAGGTCAATCGTACAATCTTTCTCAATAATACATCGCCGCAACGTCAAATCTCTCTGTAACTCCTGAACTTTCTTACCAAGTTTTGTCATTTCCTGACTATACTGTTGAAGCGGAGTTTCCACTTTAGTAAACTGCTCACCAAACGCACCAGCCAAATCAACAACTAACTGGTATTTACTCAAGAATAATCGGCATCCATTAACAACACTGGATCTGCAAAATATTCATAAAGTTTAAAAATTAGGAAAGCAATCTGAAAGTAAAGGTGAGTACAGCACAATCCATCAAGTAATTATTTATTGTGATATTTCTTACCCAGAACGTCTTACGAAACCATTCCTAGGAGATGCACTTTCACAACTCCTTTCATTTACGTCACTGCCACTGTTTACATTAGTGCATAGCAAAAACGAAGAGAGTCCAAGAAATGGCTCCAAAGCTCTGTTAAATTCTTCTCGGCTATCCACTGTTAAATCACCAGTATATTGTGGCTTTTCACACTGCATTGATATCAGTGACTGAAAAATGTCCTCCCAAGATTAATCGCCCTTTAAAAAACTAAAGATATAACACTGAATTCAAAAATTGCTAGTTAATTCTTAATATGTACAAAAAAAAAAAATCTCTCATACCTGAATTCTTCTGAGCAGATCTGCATAACATTGTAGAAAGTCCAATTTTGAGGCAGAGGAACAAAAAATTGAAGCACTTAACAAACATAGGCGAGTAACTGGCTGAAAAAATGAACCATAGCTTTGAATAAAAAAGCTTATTTCCATCATTAGTTTTGGATTACAGAGCGAAACAGTTTCGGCAATAACCTGCAAGGACGTAAGCTGTCTCATCTGCTCACGGAAATGATGGATACGTGTAGCCATTTCTTCGTCAAGTTTTTTTAGCAAACGATCTCGCACTGTCAGTAACGTATCGGTCATTTCCTGACAAGTTTGTCGAATGCTGAAAGCTGAGCAAAAAGGAAAATTCAAATTAAAAAAAAAAAACAAAATACGGCTCTCGATACACATTTCTTTCTCCTATATTTGAAAAATATATGTAGTCAAATAATTTAAACAGCCAAATGACTCTCTAAAACAAATGAGCTCTAAAATTTTAATCTCAACCTAGTTTTAATAGGGTTTCATTTAGTATAAGCTCTTTTAAATTCTGAATCTTAAAAAAAAATGAAACATAACCTCTCGCAAGCAACACGGTGACTCTCAGCAAGCTCAGAAACTAAACGTTTTCTTAATTGCAATTGTTCATCAACATCATCCTGAAACAAAACAATAAATTTTTAATGAAAACGGAAAATGAACTTAATTGGTAAAGTATACTTGAAATGCGCGCAATTTGACAGCTGCCTTGTCCAGTTTCTCACAACCCATTTTGTGTGCAGCGTCAATTTGAACGAGATGATGCCTTGAATGTAAAAACACAGATAACTTCAAAATAAAGGTAAAAATTATGAATATGAAGCTCTGTTTTCTTTCTATTGTCTTAAAAAATGAAGACAACTTATTATTCATTCTCAAAATAAAAAACCATTACTAGGATACAGGACGAGATTAAATAAAACTCCCCATACTGACTAAAGTATTTCACTATTGATAATATGTAACAGTCATGCAAAAAAATATTCAACAATTTATACCGTTTTGTTAACAAATGCCGTAGCTATCTATCTATCTATCCACCTCATTTAACAAAATATTATTTGTTGCAAAAACCGCAAACATTTTGCCATCAAAAAGTTAATTAAAAAATTAGAAAAATGACCTTGAATCAAAACCCGCGTTATTAAAGCATACAATGCATGCTAAATTACGATTTTCCATTGAATATAGAATGTAAGGCTCTCCATGTATTGCACAAGTCATGCGTCCCTTGACCCGCGCTCGTTCTTCCAGCGGTACAACTCGGTGAGCAGCAAACATTCGAGCCTGAAATTTCTTTTCAAAACATCCGCAGTATGCTTGTGTTCTACCATCCAAATTTCTTCTGTAGAAAACTAAGAAATGTCGTTCCAACTAAATAGAATTAGAAAATAAATATAGAACAAAATTACCTGATGTGTACTATGCCGGCAGCGATTACAAAGAGCCTGTTGACAGGTTTCACAAAAATGCATCGGCTGAGAAATCTTAAAGTCGTGAATTCTTATTGAATTATGTTAAAGCAAACAGAAATGTAGCCCCCTACAACCACAGATTACATATATATTCTCGACAATATGGATATCGATGGAAAAGATAAATAATAGAACAAAAATCTTTTGTTTTTTGAATTAGAAACTGAACTCATAAAGTACGGTAAAGTCTATGTTCTTAAAGCATAAATTCATACATTATATTCAGATTTCTTTTACCTGGTCACAGTTAGCACATACGTCAGCTGTTTCATGACTAGTATCAATTAAGAATGAAAGCAGATTATCTGGACACACTTCACCATCAACTGCGGCCCCACATACAGGGCATGTTTTGTTATTCTGGATGCATTCACGACAGTAGTTGTGCTGACATGGTAAACGAACAGGTGATGAAAATTCCTGAATAAATGCTTCACTTTTTTCGTAAAATTAACAATTGAGAAATAGGATCACAAAAGAGTTAGCAATCGGATAACAGAAGAGCCACAAACTGAATAAGTCAATGCTGCAAAACTAAATAAAAAAGAATACTCGATCGCATATGAGACATTCCAGTGGATTTCTCGATCCCACATTCTCTAGTTTGAACATCAGTAGCGAGGATGAGCATGCCATCAACCATCATTTCATAAGCGTTTAAACGCCGGTGTAAGTTGTGTAACCTAATCGAAACACACAAAAAAAAAATATCGAAAACACTGACCTCTCCCAAAGTGATCAACATCTCCCATTAACCACTCAGCCTCTGACATGTTCAAAAAATCTCGAATTAATCTAAGAAGAAGACTAACATACTGATGGGAACAAGGACAATATAATTCTTTCACGAGTAGAACAATATAATTCTTCTGTAATTAACAATACAATTCTCTGAAGACCATTTGGTAAGTCCAATTTCGTATTAAAAATCGCATAATCAAATACTCACAAAGCGACATTTAATCTTCCCAACACTTGCAATATTCTATGCTGTTCTTTCTGTATATTATGAAAACAAAGTTACTGGGGTTTTATGAAACCATTCATACTTTCTATAAATAAAAAAATGAATTCTACGAATAAAAAAACGAATTTATTCCAAAATTCCAATAAGCAACAGAAGACAATATCAAAAATACCACTTTAAACAACACAGAAATGTCAAATAACAAGCAATCTCTGAAGGAGAATTTCCAAAATCATAACAGCTATTATTACAGAAAAAAATTTGCAAGAAAGAGGACAAATAAATATGACAAGGTTTCTTTCTGGAAAATTTACAAACAATCTGATGAGACTGACGACAGAATTTTTTTTCTTTCCCACAAAAAAGAAAAATCCAGCTCAATCTTTTCCAGAAAATTATTCACTTGATCCAAAAATAACAAAAGCAAAGTGCTCAAAATATACTGTCATATGACATCCTAAAACACCGTTACAGTTAGCAATACCAAATTTGAAATGTTTAGTAAGATTCTCGTCGGACAAGTTAATTCTAGAACAAATCAAAAAGGGAAAGTAAAGACACGACAGAAATACTGTAAATATTTTAATCAACACTTGAAAAATAATTCCTTGGGAATGAGAATGAGGGCTAAAGAAAATTTTATCATTTCACTTGTAGAAACCTCCTAATTTAGTAAAATAATCATACTCAGTAAGACTTTAAGTAAAATGATATTCAATATTAATCGCTGATAAGGTCACCCATTTTATACATGGAAGAATATTCCACGTCGGTCAAAATGAGTCCCAGTAAGCCCTGGACTAATTATTCCGGACAGAGTGTTAAAATAAAGGCAGTCCTCTTAACATATTCAAAAGAAGAATTGTATTCCTAGTACCAATAATATACTTTGTTCATAACTACAAATTTAGCAGGATTATGGTTAAAATCAGACAATATTCAAAAAAAATTGAAGTATTCCTTTATCAAACTACTAAAATATTTACTGTAGCGCTTAAAAGACTAATTTCTGAAAACTAATAATAACACCGATGGCTCTAGTCGATCAGTTTCTTGGCTTTGAAATATCGACGAAGATATAGCACCTGCCAGATGGCCAAACTGAGAAGGCACAACATCGAAAATATACTCAAATACAATACTCGACTGTTTGTTGATTCTGGAGACTTGATAATTTAATGGTTTTTCTAGTAAAACAAATATTTTCTAACATTACAATCAACTAATGTATTGCGCTGATTGTGTAACAGTCTTTCAAATTCAAAAACAACCAGCCAAAATATCCTCTATTTTTTTGGTAAATTAAAATCAATGGCGATATATCGTATTTGAACTGTATATATAAGTAAATATATTCAAATTTAGAAAAAAATTTCCAAAAATAACTGACAACATGAATACTACAAATTTCTTACCGTTAGTGGATCTCATCTCCTCTTCCCTTTGCCTCATATAAGCAAAATCTTGAACAATTGAATCGGATAAATCCTCCAAACTAAAAAAATGATGTCATGACTTCAGTAATTGAGGACCAGTAGCTTAATTTAGCGAACGAAAAGGACTAATTAACGATGGAATATTAATTTTTGCATACTAAATTTTCTATATCTGAAAAGTTCGGAAAGAAACATATGAAGTGACTTAAACAAATACAACACTAACCGCCTTAATTCAACTTCTAATGGTTTAAGTTGTTCTGCCTCGGCAACTGCGTCGTAATTTTTTGCTTCTACGCCTCGTTTCATCTCCAAGTAAACTTCACGATTCCCACCTCGAACATCTAAGTAAAAGAAAAACTAGAATGTAAATCAGGCAATACTTGCTTACAGACAATACTTCATAATACATCTAGGCTACAAACATCAGCGATTTCAAAAGACTTAATCTTTTTTTTACAGCTTTTTTTGCCATAAAATGCCATAAACGCATAATAATAACAAACTTGGTGGGAGATGTGTACTGAAGCATATTTCAAAGATATCATATTCGTCAGCTGTGAATGCAAACTTGCCACTTGTTTCAGTGAAACGTTCCCGCTGATATAATGTGTGACTTCTAGTATCTGTTACCTAAAACAAAATAGATTGTTTGCTTGCATCGAATCATATGCCATTAACATCAATGATATGTGGAATTATACTTCACAAATTTCCACTATTTTCAACAAAAAGCATAGTATAAGTTGAGTATAATTTCAATTCCTACTTCAATATTTATTATTATTCTAGCATCTATTTATTTTTTATAGAAAATGGACGACTTACATGAACAGAACTAATATGGCCCGTGGTATCGGCAAATTCGTATGACCCAGTGACAACCACGTTCTTGTGTATTTCTTCCTTCAAACATTTCTTACCATTCGGTGGCACGTAAAACCTAATGCTTGCCGTCTGTGAAATAAGAACGATAACCAAAAGAATGGTATCCATATACGTTATGCGCATCGTCCTCAAATGTCTAGTAAATTAACTAATTTCAACGGCAATAAATAATAGGCACAAGTAAAGAAAAATAAGCTACAACTTATCAGCTCCTTCATAATGAGATGAATTTGCAATTAATGCATTATAGGAGTTTGAAGAATAATCACGGAGATAACAAAAATATTTCCGGGATGCTCAACCGCATTCCTAGAACATCCAGGACGCCAACTTTTTGCTCTTTTTTATCCAACTACTAGTCGTGTATCTTCTCTTGCACAGGACACCGTTCCCCGTCTCCTAAACCCGACCCGAGATATTGCGTGGATTGGATCTCGACGACAGTACGGTAGCAACAAAAGCTACCACGTAATCCTGTCAAACCATTCCCCTATGAAATCGCGACATCTCATTGTGTGTGTGTGTTGTGTGTTAGTTTCTTTGCTGGCAATAGGTGCGAATAAGTAGGCGTTCTTACTTATTTCCCACAAATTTTATAGCTACACGTGAAATAGTACGCGTAAGCTCCATGAACTAGCTTTCGTTCGTGTCTGTTCGTTTTTAAACGTTTAACTTTTACATACGTTGGCACAATGGCATTTTTAGCTGTAATGGATCCGCCACTGGTCACAGCACAAGATAAAACAAGAAGCGAACACATGGCCATAGATCTCAGTGATATCACTTCCGACACTGATGTCCATAATTTCGACTTTTTTGATTCCGCCAGACATGATTGTCAAGAAAGAGGTTTTCGATTTACGTTTGTCAGTTGAGGCATATATCGGAATTGGTCATCTCACTTTAGACATTATTACTTTGCGACTTCTTTCATTTGTATTACTTTCTAGTCAGGTATTTTATTTTTGATTTTAATGATGCATCATTTTTCACAGAAAAGTAAAACTCGGCTGTTTATTTGTTATGGAATTATGGACAAATAAACAGCTGGTGATCGTGTTAGAAAAATATATGACAGCGACAAGATTTATCATTCACAGGATTTCTCTCCAGATTATGACGTTTCGGGAACGATGTCAACAAATATTGAAAATTCTGATGAAAAACATTATCGAAGGATTATGCAAGGTGGGTATACCAGTCATTTCTTTGAAAACCGAGGATTTGGTTGGCTTTTAGACATTGACGATGATATGGTCGATTTTCAGAGGCCTTTATTGTAAGTATCAGTTTTATCTTCTCACAGGTTCTCAGTATCACTAGATAATACATTTTGTTATTTCATTATATAAATTCTTTGCGATAAGTTATAAAAAGATATGCGGAATTGCTCAGTAGATTAAAATAAAATACTCTTACTAATCGTTACATTTCAATATTGGTTACACATTTTATTTAAAATGTTGGTCTTTCAAGTCATTCATGATTTTTTTTATCGCAAAATTTATTAATACGTTAAATTGTTTTTTTTTTTTTTTTTTTTTTTTTTTTTTTAAAGTTTGCGTACTGTGTTTCAATCTGTATTGAATACAGGGAGGAATTAGATATTGACTTGTCTGATATTTATTATAAAGTACGCTGCGTTTTATTTCCTTTGCCTTATTTTCGTCTGAAATTATGCATCGTTCGAGAATCGCCTGATTTCTGGGGACCACTATTTATTGTTTCAACTTATGCATTATTATCATTGTACGGACAACTAAGTGTACGTTTTTCTTGTATGAATAATTTTGGATTTTTTTCACTATGAAATCCAACGTATTCAAATTTAAAAGCGATCAAACAGGATACAAGGGAGTCATGGAACAGGCATTTCAATGCTACACTCTGATAAAATTATAATAAAGTAGTAATTATAAGAGCTGATTCGTTAGTTTTTGTTTACAGCAAATGTTTTTAAAATTTTTTCTGGATGTCAGGCACACCTTTTTATCAAACAAATAATTGATAAATCGGAACGAAGGAATATGAATTTTTGTTCTGTTCGTTTCTTTAAAATGCATAAATGTATAAGTTTTAGGTACTTTCATGGATTCTAACAATTTGGTTTATTGGGTCATTTTTTGTTTTTTTCCTAGCTCGAGCTTTGGGAGGAGAAGTCGGTTATGGTCAAGTACTTGGTATTGTCGGTTACTGTCTCATACCATTAGTTGTTGTAGGCTTAATTACTTCAGTTTTGTCAAGGTAATCTTTTCTGAATGACGAATAGTACTGCCAATCATATTTGTGTTTTTTCATAGTTGCTCTTCTTTTTGTAATTTGGATTATCTATAGCTCAAACCTTATTAAAAATGGAATTTGTGAAAGCAAAATGAAGGAGTGATGCCAGATTAGGTGGTGATAGATTCAAAAGTTAAGAACTTTTCTGATACTAATATGTTGTACATGCAAGCATCAAAAGTTTTCTAATGCAATAGGGTTGATTAAATAACTGTGGCTTCGTCCATAATATACAGTTTTAACTGAATATGAATCACAATTGGTTTCTGCAAATGAATTCGAAAGAATAAAATAATTTGAATTTTTTACAGGTTCCGGTTGTTTTCTATAGCAGTTGGCTGTTTCGGTGTTTTATGGTCTGTATATAGTGCTGGTACACTTCTCTGTGTTGAGGAACTCCGTGAGAAACGTACTTTATTGCTTTATCCAGTTTTTTTATTGTATGTTTATTTTTTCTCGCTTTATTCTGGAGTGTAACATATTACTGTTGGTTGTTTTTTATAGCAGTATGTTGTCAATAATTATTGACCTCATTGTTATTAAAATCTTAATCAAAATCATGTTCTTTTTATGATAAAAGCAGTATCATTTGCATTTTGTCTAGCTTATGACTTAAACTTTAAAGGAGAGGTTTTTGCTTGTTGGATGATTTTTTAAAATATGGAAATTTCCTTGGTCAACTATGTTCATTTTCTCAGCACTAATAAAATGGTGTCATCTCAATAATTCATTGAAGAGATAGCAATGAAATATCAGTCATGAAAAGAAGGAAGTATTACTTAAATTGTGGCATTCGCTTCCTTCATTCTGCATTTTATCACCAAAGTCAATAAAAGAAAAATAAAATGAGCAATATATCAGTTCCAGTCTGGCAGAATTCTGCTTTTTTATTCTGTTTTCTTAGCTGCATTGAACATTTCATATGCTTGAATAGCGTTTGATCGGTCATTATGGAAAATTGGGAAGAATAATTAACAATTTTGATGCTCATTCAGAAGATTAGTTGGGACTCCAAAGGTGTGCGAGCTATAAACCAACTGCTGGTTGTCCGAAGAACTGTGATCAAAGAAACAGGTGTCTTTTTATTGGTCCTTCTTAAAATTGATTTCCTAACTTTGCAGGATATTGTAGGTAATGTTTTGTCATTTGATGTATTTGAAGCTACATTTCGGAAAGGTTCTGAGATAATTTTACGCTTGTTTCCAAGGAATTCAACTTTTTTCGAAATCTCGCACGTTATAAATTCATGAGAAATGTAAGAAATTTTGAGTTCGACAACAAGGAGAAGGTTGTCCTTGCATCTCTGTTAACTTTCAATTATTGCTTCCCGCATGAAAGTCGTTGAGATTCGATTGTTTGTTACAGACCAACACATTTATCCCCTTCTTTTGTTCCTATTATCTTTTCTTTCATTTATATTTTATTTTCATTTTTAATTATTTATTTCTTAGAAAAATATTTCCATGAAAAACAGTGAATAATGAGTGATTTAAATTTTCATTTGAGCTTCTTCAATTGTGTTAATAGATTGACTGTGACTTGTTTTTCTATTCAAATTGCTTTTGCTGCTGGTCATGCAACATCGACAACGTTGTGAAAAGGGATCACCTCATATTTTGATTGTAGGTTTCTTGTCATCATAGTAGAAAGACAACTATCAAGGAACTGATCCTGTATAAGCTGTACATTTATTCTCGAAACCCACATTTATTCTCTGCCTTATATTCCAGAGATACGGACTTATGCTCCAGGGACAATTTTAATTACTGAGATGTACATTTGGCATGATCGATTAATGTTTTGTAAGGAAAATCTGAAAGGCAGTGATATTTGCAGAAGTCTGAAAGAAGCTCAAGAAACAATACCTAGTAATGAAATCAATCAATCATTAGAGTATTAATTGTTCATATCTTCAGAAGCAACCGACCAGTTAGTTGTATGACTAATATTGTCACAAAATACTGATCTGCTCTTCGCATTATTCCACTTTACATTTCCGCCATCAGAGGTGGTTGTTCCGATAATGTTTTTATCACTCTACTCGTTTTATTATATTTTTGAGAAAATTGAGAAAATATCAAATTGGTTTACACTGTCTGTTTGACAAAGTTTACGTTCAATAGGGAGACAATTAAAGATACAAATAATTATTTAAAGTAAATTCATTTTAGTTTTTTATTTTCAAGACATCTGTCATAATGATATTATTGCCAGTAGTAATGATAGTGATAAAAATTTGTCTAGCCGATAATAAGGAAATATTGGAGTGTGCATGGATTACTTGCCTGCTACCGAAAGTGTGTCAACGCATCGATGGCATTGGTTAGTTTTGCTGTTTAATTTCATATTTGCTGAAGTTTAAGGAACTTTTGATGAGTGTGTGTCATATGTTTTGCATACATTTCCTCTTCTTGCAGTTGAATGATATCTGAAATTTTGAAAAATTTCAACGATTTTGGAAATTATCCGAGAGCCTAACTTGTTGTCATTTTCCACTAATCGATTCTTAATTCGAGTACTCTAAAGATTTTTTTTTTTTTTTTTGGAAAAAATCATTTTATGACGACTGTATAAAATGATTATTTACAGTATTATGCGTTTTTCCGAATGATACTGTGAAAACAAAAATGGAAAGACTTTCGGAATCGGCGTCATTAGCGAGTCAGATGAACCAAATCACCGAATCTATCCTCACGGAATCCGTTACCTATATTTCATCGATCCCTTATTCGCCATCGTCATCATCATCACTTTCCGATACAGAATCATTTCCATCTTCCGGTGCTGAAACAAAGCAAGGGCTGCTTCTAACTGATATAGTGACACAAATTGATTCAAAAATGTCTGAAAAAAGTTTCATAATCAAAACACTTCCGGAATTATGCTGGCTTCCTGCTGTCACTGGGCCATGTTCAAAAGCAAAAGTATTGTGGTACTACAATTCCTTAAGGGATCGATGTGAAAGATTCAGCTTCAGGTGACAGTTTTTATTATATTATGAGTTTTATGGAAATATCAGTACTAAAATCATATAGAAATCAACTTTAATATTTATTGTTCGCACCCAAATTATGTTTTTACTAATGCCTTCCAGAAAAGCAATTTAAAACTTCGAGTAAAGAAGGAATTTTTTCATTTGTTTAACTGATTTCAAGAATATCGTAATGAATGAGTGATGGCTATCGAAGTTCAATACTATCAAAATTTCTTTTCACTATTGATAAATTACAGAGTTAATTCAAATTTAAATCGCATTTAATGTTCATTTCAGTGGTTGCGGTAATGCGAACCATTTCTACAGCCGGGAAAAATGCGAAGAAACTTGTCTGATGGAATATCCTAGTACATCTTTTGGCTTTTAATATTCTATTATTTTTATTACCATCCCATCATTTCAAACTCTGAATGCTTTTCTACTCATCAATCCTCTTAAGTAGATCGATTTGATTCGGTTCCCATACACGTAGAAGTGATGGTACTAGTTTGGTTTCTAACTTTCGCTACCAGTGATTTCTAAAGCACTCTGCGGAATTCTGCGTAATTCCGAGTTCTTTTAGTAAATGTCTTTTCAACTCTCTGACTAGACTCGGTGTCATTTAATGTCCTGAATAAAATGAATCCTTTTTTATCATCTCACATTTTAAAATATAAGGGTTAAGCATATCTGAATTTCATAAACTGACTATCAAAACAATGATGCAACTGACTTCTTTGTAGACTAGAAATGGAATTTATCACTGAAACGCGTAAATTAAATCGCATATCTTTTCTTGAGAAATATTGTATGCTGTCAAGAAATAAAAATACTCAAAATAACATAGGAAATACCAAAAATATAAGAAAAAAAGCACGCATTGCACAATATACTGCAAAGCAATCCTTTATACCAGCAATAAACAGCAGAGCTGAAGCTAAGAAATGTGATAATACAGTACTTTTGATATAATTACATCAGCATAGTTCCTAATGCCAGCTTCAATATCAGCGCAAGCATAGCATATATTTTTTTAGGCTATCGATGAGAAAAGGAATTTGTTCTTAGAAGATGTTCGTTAGCAGTTGGTGATTTAGTTTAATTTTATCAAGAAGAGATAGAAATAAGAAAGCTTGATACAGACGATTTCACAATTAAAGTAAGCCGAAGTCAGAGAATTTTAAAGACAATATTCACTGGATATTTGTATACCAGTAAACTGTGTTTCGTCATTTTGGAAATTTGCATAATAAACTTGAGGGAAAATAGGGAGAGAATGACCACTTTAAGGCTGGACCAAAAAAGAGGTCTACAGAAAAGAAGTTATACTCCTACCAACTATCATTTCAGAATTTGCCGCTTCAGACAGCAAATTTCCTTTCCAATGATTTTTTTTTTAACCTTTCAGTATTAGAACAAGTGACTTTTCAATATCAGATTTTAGAACAAAAATTATGTTTGATGATGCGCTATTAAAATTTACTATTCTTGTTTTAACTAATGAAATACTACTTTCTTTTCATCTTTCTTTTTTTTATTTTTATTTTTTTTTTTTTTTTTTTTTTGTGGAAAATGATAAGGAATGAAGAAAAGAACAATAGAATAGGGATAACTGAAAATAAGTGATTTTAAGAATAATCAAATGATTTTCAGCCCGAGCTACCAGCAGATATCAGATCCAATGATACAGATTCAATCTAATTAAATTTAGTTAAAACGAAAAGATGTAGAACTAAAACTCAGCTGAGTTGCAATCGGAAAAGTTGCACTTTTTAAGAATATGCGTGTCTACCCACTAAAAATTTTGAGCATTCTTAAAACAAATCTGAAAGAATTAAACTGCACCATGCTGAAAGTTAGCAAGATTTGAAATGGTTTCTTTCTACAACAGTGGAAAGAAATTTTCAGGGGCATTAATTTAGTGATTTTATAGATTATTCATATTATAGTGCATCGTCGTGACTGTTGCTGTTGTCCATCACTGATTTTCGATTTCATTGTGTCCATTTTATCCTTTTCATGTGCTGCTTCCTGTTGCAACAATATTTTTGAAAATCTTTATTTTTGAACAAAATTTTAATCAGATGTCTTTCATAACATCAACCCGATATCAAAGTAGAGCCGGTTTTGAGAATTTTGATTTCACTATTTTCGCAGCGTTTATCAGAGCATTACCGACTTTTTACTTTTACTTTTACATATCTGATAAATAATGGGAATTATTCGGTCCGCTTGTTATTAACCACACTTGATAAATCATAAAATTTTGGACTAATTTAGACAATAAACTAACAGGTTTTATTTCAGCTGCTGATAGGATCGGACATTCTCTTGTCTTTTGAGTTTCAATTGTCTGAATCTGTGTTAACGCCGTTGTGTTTGTCATTTGGGATTCAGACTTTTGTGGTATTTCGACACTAAAATGAGCAAGTAGGATTGACGTATTTAATAAATGCTAAATAACAAATAAAGCTTAAAAAATGAACAGAGAAATAAAATTAATTTACTTAATTTCAAGTTGTACTTAATGCTTAATTCTCGAGCATTGGGTTTCAAAATTTTCAGTTCGGAATTATAATGAATTTTCTAGGAAGAAGTCACAGAATAAATAAAAAAGCTGAACAGTAACAATTTACAAAAAAATTATCATTTGGAAATAATAAATCTTTTGAATATGAGAAATGGAAAAAATGCCTCTTTCTACTTAATTTTAGTGATCTTGAGTCCTTAACTTTCCATTAATAAATTAATCTGAACTGGAAATTAGTTACAAAGTTCAAAACTTAGTTGCTTACTTCTGTTCCTCTTTATCGTTTGACCCAAGTTCATCTTTTCCCATTCCGGGACTTACTGTCCTTTCAGTCAATGTTTCGAATCCCTAAATATTTTTTTGTAATAGAATTACGATGTTATTTTTATCTTAGCAACGAAAACAACTTCTTGATCTTCATGACATTCTTTTTTGTCGACAACATTAACTGACAAGAACACAGAGCAAAAGTTGAAAAAGCGCAGGATGCATGTGGCAGTGCGCAAAAGTCGTCACAAAATCAACAGTAACATAATTAACACAACAAGCAGCGGTAGCATTTAATCAATTTTCTTCATAAATAATTCAAAATTCCTAAACGCTTGCAACATATTTAAGCATGTATTTGTATCGTATTGAATCAACGTGCATATGTGTCAGTTTCTTTTCCGCGATCTCCAAAATTTAATCAATTCAACACACATCAAAAGTCGAAGTCTTCAGAAGAAAGACTACGATCAAAACAAAATGGACAGACCGGTTGGTTGAATGAAACGAACCTAAATCCTGTTTTTATTTCTCAAAGAACTCTAATAATTCAGAGATGATGTTTTCCAGTAAGACTTCAAAATAAATCATTAGATAACTTCTTCAGATGGATATTTTTAAAATCAACTTACTCTTGAAAAAGTCGTAGTAAATAAAAAGTTTCGGGAGGAAATTAAAAAAATAAACAGAAATATATAAAAATAATAAAAACAAAAAAGAAAAAATCTTGGAAATACCCTTAATGAATGCTGCTGTCCCATAGCTTTGGCTTCTTCTGCAAGGATCATTTCAATAGATTTTTTCTTCGGTGGTACTGGTGGCGGTGCATTTTTGGGTGGTAGCACGGGTGACCGCAATGAGACTGATAATGATGCCGCACGGTCAGGTTGACCGCTACGATTAACAAAACTTGTCTTTGCAGACTAAAATTGTTTTGTTTCTTTCGTTATTTTTTCTTCGCTCTTTTCGTTTTATTTTGAAATACGAATGACAAACGAATGACACATGTTGAAGAAAGTTATTTTTAAGCTAAATGCTATTGAAAAAAAATATTACGAAACTAAAGAATTGAATTTAAAAGCAATAAATTTTTTCAAATTGCTGAATTAATCTGGAAAGATCAATTCGGATAAAAGCATTAGCAGTTCGCTGTAAGTTGTTCTTATTATCTTCCCAAACTTCGCTCACTTTTTTCAAATTACCAAGCAATTCCAAAAAAGCAAGCAAGCGAAGCAAAAAAAGTTTTAAAAAATTGATATAAGATTATGGGAGAAAACTAAGATAGCTGTGGAAAGAAAAGTTAATCAGAAAGTTTTATGAAAACGCGAATGAAAAAAGTTTAAAGAAAAAAACATTGGGAAAACAATTAGAGCGAAAAAAAGCAAAAGTTGTTATATGGAAGCAAAACCTAACTTAAGAAGAGTAAATTACAAAATGAATTAAGACGGAATGTTAAATGAAGCAGCCATAACTTTGCTGGAGATTTAACTGCGAGGAAATATTATATGATACCTCATGTTTTGATTCAGTTTTTTCTTGTATGTGGTCGATCACTGCCCCTGTGACTATTTCATCCTGGTCATTGCTTTTGGTCGGGATACTTGACTGTAGTGCATTCTCGAGAACAGTTGGAGCTGCAGAGAATTTGAGTGCATCTTCTGCAGCTGATGGCTGGAACGGTTTATGAATTAATTATCTATACCTACCACATCCCCCAGATTTCATTTCACGCTCCCTACTGTTAGATTATGTCAAAATGAATGTGACTCAAACATATACTCAATGCAGAAAATTTGTCCCAAAAACTTGGATAGCAGTTTAAACAGCAAGTATGTATACTGCACATGCATTGCATACATGTTGCCGCAGATAACGTGCGAGGTATAACAAATTTAATTTACGTACGTAGCTATGTTCTAGTAATGTTAGTTTACATAGTGCACTTCAAGTAAATAACCTACTGAATTAAATTTCACATTTAGTAATCGACAGGTCAAAGTTATTTCGAATCTCTTATTAGAATCAAAATGACATGCTATCCCCTTTAGTATTTTAGGACAATAGTGAAAAGAAAGAAGAACGCCACATAATAATTTGATTGAATGAAAATAGAAATTAAAATATAAAATTAAGGAGAATAGAAATTTTTGAGTTGATTTATTGCAGACAATGGGAGGAGATAAATAAAACCGAAGACTTCACCTGGTCGGTAAAAAGATTAACATTTGTTTCAGGTTGCGGCGCAATAGCTATCAACTTGATTTCATGCTCGGTTCCTTTTTCATTAGCAGTAAACGATTTTTCTGCGACAAAACATAATTCTGATGTTGGTTCACTGGATTGCTGAAATTTTCGTTCTTCCTAAATTTGAACTCATACGCTACCCGATATGTAATTAAAAGAAAAATATTGCACGGATGAGAATTCTTTAAATTAATTGCAAGAAACAATTTTTTAACACCTTCCTACTTCAACGCAATTTGTACTGATGCTTGATGTGCTTTAGTTGTTTCCCATATATTCGTAAGGATGTCACAGCATCGCTGCATTATATCAGATGTAATTCAACAAAATTATTCCATCTACCTGTT